AACTCTGGGAATAACCTCATTAAACTTCGTTATCTAAAAAGGGTTTTGTTTTCGTGGGACGAGTTTGACGAGCAGCGATATATATAGGGTGCTTGGACCAAGGAATTAACGATATTTCATTTGCCTACAGGTATTTAAATTTTAGGGAGGAATATGACCATTATTTATCATGTTGTTCATATCCTGATTCTTGTCACGCTCTATTACTAAAATATACCACAGATGTTATCACTTACGTGTAGAACGCAAGTCATCACACACAAGTACGAGGAAACATTCTCCGGCTAGAATCTGTAAAATAGATAATGATGGTACTTTCCATCGATCCCTATAAATAGGAGGTACGTAAATAACCTCTTTTTCAAAAGTATAAAGACGACCACATGTGTTTTTCCCAATCTCTCACATGTTCCAATGGTTTAAATGGTTCTGGCTGAAATGGAAGAGGCTTTCGCTTAATGGACTTCCGTATCTAATACCAGGTATATTCAACGAAGAACAGAGAAACTGTAGAATTAGGGTCTACTTCATTTTAGTACTACTCCAATAATAGACCTGATCCTGAAGTTGAGGATTTGTTATGTTGTAACTGCCTAGTCTATAAGATCTTACGCGGAAATCACATCATTGTCTACGCCGATTCATCGTATCGTGACAATCACCAATATATGATGGAGAACACATTCAGGCTGGAGATAGAACAAAATATTTAATGTGACTAAAAGGGATAAAACAACACACATGAATGACCATGTCTGCAAGGCTGAGCCATGCCATCAGATCAATTGAATTAATTAAATTCTTTCTTTCTTCCTTTTCCGTCGTTGGTTTTTTCTCCACGCTAAATGTTGAATATCCATTTTCCCAGTTGCCTTGTGTTCAGGTTTGAGGATTGTGTGGTTTGGGTTTAATGCCACTACAAAATATCATTAAATTGTAGCGAGATAATTTCTCAAGTCTTGATGAAACTGTCAAGTTTTCACCTATATGACTCCTAGGATGCTGCATGGGCTACATCAGTCGACAGCGAATTCTAGAGCTTCACCAAAGGGTGTGCCTATCGTCTTTTCTGCTATGTTGTTGTTATATCCCCTGGTGAATGATGAATGGTAAATCTGAGGTCTATTATGGACAAAGGTAATATGCCTAATTCCTATTGTATAGTTGTTAAATAACTGACCTAATTGTATTCGTGTTCCTCTTACCATAACCTTATTTTGACCTTTGAACTATTATTATTGATTACTTTCCCCCTATCTACAGCCTCATTGGCCAATTATTGTACAAATATTATTTTTCTATTTTTTTGGTATATGGGGTCTGTTTGGTTAGTATATATAACCCAGTATGCTTGTAAATAATGATTCATATTGCTGAGGCTGTTATTTGTGTTCTGGACTTAACGGGCTGGGCTAGGCAGATAGGAAGGACCGAATAGCACCCAATACTGTTTCGTACGTATTTACTGTATCATTGTACGTCCATATCATCTACGAGTTTGTATACGTCATAACAATTGGCGACGGGTGAAAAAAAATGGCTCTAACTTCCAACCAATTTCAGTTTCTAATCCAGCAACTAAAACAGCTCGTTAGAAAGAGTCAATTGGATTTCATTGACAAATTACACGCGAAGCTGCTGAATCACCCATGCTTTGGGGGTGAAACGGAAGTTGACGCAATAATTTCAAAATTGCGTACAGAGCTGGTAAACGATTACAGAATTAATGAATATGCCGGCGAAAGCCTCAATGAATCTGTACAAAACAGTAATTTAAGCGCAGCAGTTATACATGATCAGCCCAGTAGCCCAGTACTACCTGTTTCAGATACATGCCCTGTACACGGTCCAAGTCTTATTAATCCCGAAAACGGACGTGCAAACAATGAATTATCCTATTCACAGAAAGTACATGTCTTGCAAAATGCTCATGAAATTGCTGCAGTACCCGCCCACGAAGAAACGGGAAACAAATCGAGCAGTATATTGAATACAGAGGCGCCAAATGAAATTATTCATGATACGAAAAATTTTCCTAATGAATCTAATGATCAAAATTATCTAATTGTTCTGCCAGATCACGATTATTTCGCTGATTCATATGTTCCTGTTCAAATCTCTTATAAAAATGTGAGAAAAATATTGGATGCATTAAATGATAATCAAGAATCCAATACAACTCTCATAGATACTGATTATCCTAATGATCCATTATCTACTAATGAGGTTCCGAGGAAATTCAAGGAAACTATTTCAGAAGAATCAAATGTTGGTGACCTCAAATCAAATGTCGTCGATCCTCATGATCTCATCAGTTCTAATGGATTCCCTGTTAAATGTGTCAAACATGACAAACATATCGAATTAATAGTAACTTGGTTATATGAGGATCCAACAGTCTTTCGTGGGGGAGGGGGAATTCGAGAAATTTAAAATCCGGATATCAACTCCGGATTTCTCAAAAAGGGGAGGTGTTATATCCCCTGGTGAATGATGAATTGTAAATCTGAGGTATATTATGGACAAAGGTAATATGCCTAATTCCTATTGTATAGTTGTTAAATAACTGACCTAATTGTATTCGTGTTCCTCTTACCATAACCTTATTTTGACCTTTGAACTATTATTATTGATTACTTTCCCCCTATCTACAGCCTCATTGGCCAATTATTGTACAAATATTATTTTTCTATTTTTTTGGTATATGGGGTCTGTTTGGTTAGTATATATAACCCAGTATGCTTGTAAATAATGATTCATATTGCTGAGGCTGTTATTTGTGTTCTGGACTTAACGGGCTGGGCTAGGCAGATAGGAAGGACCGAATAGCACCCAATACTGTTTCGTACGTATTTACTGTATCATTGTACGTCCATATCATCTACGAGTTTGTATACGTCATAACAGTTGTGTCTCTAATTTCTGACTGTCACATAAAGTTTGTGATGAAAATGAGAGTACATAGTTGTTTAAGGAGGGGCAAAGGGGTGTTTAGGATGTTGTAAGTCATTAGAATGGCACCTGTGAGACGCTTATCCTCTAGTCGGTAAAGATTTGGTGATTTGAGATGCTCTTCATAAGGTTCGAATTTGACTTTCCAAACTGATTTAGTGGGTTGCCTTCGGAAACTTTCTAGTGTATTCTTATCCTTTTAAAGTGAGGGGGGAAACACGATGTTTCCATCCTCTAAATCGAGTCGAGTAGAACTATTGAATATAAGGTGGAATGTTCTTTCGTCAAACTAGGCAAAAGTGCACTTCAACCTTAATAGTGCAAGGCTTCCTCGAAAGTCACTTTTGTCTCACTTAGCGCCAGACTTCAGATCATAGGGTACTAACACTCATAGATCTGTAGATGCCGTCTAGTCACGATTGAGTATGATCACCACTTCAATAAGACTACGTGTCAGATATCGACTTGGATCCCTCGGTAGGCCAAAAACCAGAAGTCTGTTGATGGTCCAGATAAGATATATTTGTTGGCGATCTCGTGGTATCGAAAGAGTACCGAGACGTACCAAAGACAACAGACAAGATGGCAGAGCGTAAGAGCGTTCGCTCAAGCAAGACGGACAACGGAACGAAAATGTGCTTTTGGTACAGTTAAACAAACAAGTACAGCGAAACAATTGGTTATAATAATAATTGCTTCCAACACACCAATCGCGTTCCCGTCGCAAAAGTAGGTCACTACAGATCTTTTTCAACTTGCGATGCCTCTAGAGGGGAGTTACCGAAGTTGTATTCGTGGTCTGCAGCATGTCTCAGATAGATTACTTTACACTTTGGAATGTTGAAGGTAAGCCCGTTGGTGTTAGTCCAACTTAGAAGTTGAGTCAGATCCTCCTTGGTCGCAAAGGTTTTTACAGAGTTTCAAAACAGCGAAAATCAGTAACTCTGACGATGCCTCCTGTGGATGATCGTTTATGTAAATTAAGAAAAGATGTCCTAGTACTGAACTCTGAGGGACCTCGCTAAGACATCCCACAGTCTGAGAAAAAGTGAAGTTAACCGTGACCTTAAAAAGTCGATCATTTAGATATTGTAGAACATCAACGTTGATGCTCTATGTTGCGTTATTCGAAGTCTCGCTCACCAGTGTTAGTGCGGCTGCATGTTCGTATCACGTCGGGCTCACCAGTGTAGAACATCAACGTTGATGTTCTATGTCGAAATGATTGGGGGCCTACTATAGTTAGACGAGAATGGTGACGAACCAACTAAAGCTGAAGTCACACCTCGCGACCGGCCCTTACGTGGTTTGAACCGTCGACGCATCAAAGGGTCATGGACGTTATGGAGACTGTACAACACAAAGGACCTTATTAAAAGAATATATTAGTTAAGGTACAACCACGGAAGTACAGAAGTGAAAGAACAACCACTGTCGCGTGGGCCAGTCCATTGCATATAATTGATTGATGCGGGTTGACCATCCTTGACCTTTACAGGGATCGATGATCTGTTCGATATTCAGTGATATTTCACCGACCCTACAATACTCCCCCACCAGATTCGACGGCCGTTAAAATCGATACTAAACATGTTGGGAGTAGTCGCGCGCTGGAGGTTGCCAGACGAATAATATGAATCCTCCGGGTATTGCCGAGCTGTAAAAGAAATGGAAAGGAGGCTGCAGAAACTAAGTAGTTACATAGATCATCGTATATCAAGGACTCCAAGAATTTTGAGAGTATTTGTAATAAAATTCGATCTTTTCGAATTATTTACCGGAGAGACTGAAAGAATGAGTTTATCTCTCGGTGTCCAAAATGATTCCCTTGTAATGCAGGCAAAGATTACAAGAAAGTAACAGTTGACTGTCCCTACTTATCAGATTTGTAAGTTTGAAAAATAGAACCTCCTGAAACTCTTGGCTTGAAATTCTTAAATGTTGAAGGCTCGTAAGAGTTTTAGAAAACAGTTTCGCATTGTCAGAAAATAAACGAAAACACTAATAGTGTTTAATTTTGTTGGAATGAACCGGAAAGGATTAAATAACACTCCTGGCGGCATTTATAGTTCTGGCGCGTCCAGGCGCAGTTCTGACTTATTTTTCCTTACTGAGGTTCTGTGCCTTATTACGTTAGTTGTTGAGTCCTTATCTTCGTTTCATGCCAAATTTATTAAGAGATTATGGCGATTTATTTGTTTATTAACCCCAAAAGCTGACGGACTGAGAGGTATTGTTATTTTAATCCCAGTCTCCAACTTCGTAAAATGTTTGAGGTATTTTCTACAAAGTTGTTAGACTTTTGTTAACTTCCATCTCGTACCAAGCAAATAACGTGTACGCTGTTCAGCAGTCTGCTCCACTTTGTGGATATAAACCATGGTGATTAAGAATAATGAGTATTTGTAAGTTATTGGTATTCGGTCATAGTTGTCTTCAAAGCGTCGCGTGCTTACTTTCGAACCATCAAGTGAGCTGTAGTAAAGTTAGGGATAGGGTGCAAAGCAAATATAGCAAGCTGGTTGGTCAGTTAATTAGTCTTCCATAGATGTAGTCAGGACACGTGTTACGTGAACTTAACTACCGCTTTCCTCGACAGGCAATGATGGTTGATGTAGGAATAGATTGAAAAAAAGCTAGGGGTAGCCAAACTGAAATGTGGCATCAGTCCGTGATTTCATGAACTGAGCCACGTTTGCAGATGAAGATTACCTGGTTGGGGTTCACGCGATTATTGCAACCAGTGTTTGGAGATGCTGGACATGGCTCAGAATCATTCTCAATGGCACGGGTATATTCACTTTTTGTTTTCCCTTAGAGCCTGGTCACGGTTTAACTTGTTAAATCGAACAATACGGAGCCTTAGACTGATGGGTCTAAAATTCGGTAGCATCTTGAAAGTCATTTTGAAAAAGCACCTCAATTAGGGACAACAATCACTACTCACCATTAAAGTCAAATAACGTTATCCCATCTGTCTACTGTTTTACAGTGTCTTTCACAATGGCATGCTATCAGCAGTACTGAAGAAAGCAAGTGATCGTGGTGGTAATGTCACTTGGGGAAGAATTTTTTAGCCTTGAGTATATTGATAATGCCGTCTTGTCGTACAGTCACGTAATAGTTACTCAAATAGTATCTGTCAGCTGGTCAATACTCGTAATTATGACACATTCTTCAGAAAGTGTGATGAGTTTATTGATTAAGTTCGTAAGATTTGGGAATTAACAAAGTATTAGTCGCATACTTAATAATTCAGCAAGTGACTATGATTCTGTTTGTTCTTTGCACATATTATTGTGAATAATGTGTCTATCTGAATTAACAATCCGAATGCAATTCTATAGTGACAGTTCTCGTTCTCAGTTTCTAAACTCATGTATGAGCTCTATTGAATTGTAATTGATACGAATAAAATGTTGACCGTTTTCTTACTTGAGTTGTATTTTTTTAATATTATCCTGGTTATTAATACTACATGGTTTTCTCCGTTCTTTCACAACATCATTTCGTTTTATATGGCACATCTCGGTGATCTTATACCAAGCTTTCACTTTGCAAACAAATTTGTGATGCTTACACCATTGTTTTCACACTATGTATGTTTTGATATTATGATGGTTAGGTTCCATGTGTAATTGTGTTCTTCAAAGTAGCTGTTTTTTTTATTACTCAAACTCAGTAGCTTGATATTCTGAATAGCACCACAAACAATCCCAAGGTAGCAGTTTTCTCTATATCTTATATGCTGTAAAATGTTGATTAAGCGTAAATGTATTTTTCGTGGTTTGGTTTTAACATTGTCTTTTGTAGATAGTTTCCATTCCATACCAGTTCTTGCCAGGAATCATTGATTTCATAAAAATATATTTTGACGTCCTGTTACTTAATAATGTCAGCAAAACATTTTACTTCCAAAGAAAAAGTATTGTCTTCCTAAAAATACTAGTTTTTAGTTATTCAAAATTTTAAAAGAATTTCAAGCACGGTTTAATTCTCCATTTCGACTCGCTGAAGCAACTAGATGGTGTGAAAGCTACTTCATACGTGAGGGTGGTAACGTCGAAACTGTTGGCGTGTTTTTAGAATTTATCATGAACCTGGGATTCGTTTATCAGGTCGACCAAAACGTTTTCTTTTCCAGATACTAGTAGGATTTTATTTCTTCCCAGATATTTTCTTAGTTTTAATGTAGAAAGAATTGAGGAGTTTTTCAGCACCTTTTGCAGATCGATAGACGGGAAATCCATGGAAGGTTAGTTTCACTTTTTCTATAAGGTTTAAGTTAACCTTAGCTGTTAGTTGGTCAGGTCTTTCGTTCCGTACTATTTCCCCGCTTAACAATATATCAAAAACTATATTAATCTGTGGGTCCTGTCACAATGTTATATATACTGGGAGTCTTGTGTTCAACTTACTGTTTAATATTAATGACAGATTACAAAAGGGAAGCCATATCTAACATTCTGAGTACTGTAGATGGTAAATGAGTTAATACAACATAATTGTTCAACAAGATAAGACTCGCTTATGAGAAATATTTAAGTTTCTTGTTTTTTGTTATAGATACATAAGTAAGCTGTGTTTGTTGAAGTGGCATCATTGTAAATGGGTTTTTCTAGTTCAAGATGATTACGGATATGGCCTTTGCTCCTGTTTCCTTGTATGTCTTCGGATATGTTGTTAGATAATATGATGGGTCAAATAATTCCTTACTTATATCGATCTCAAAATTAAGTAAATTGGATTAAGTGGGATTGTGTAGATCGCGTATTGCAATGAACTCTTCGTTTAATTCCAACTGCAGCATCACTACCCAGAAAAGTGTTCTAATCGTTACTGGCTAGAATGTTTCTTCGTAAGCTTTGGAAGTGAGTGCTAGATTGTTTGTTCTAGGTAACTTATATTTATCCGATCATACATAAACTGTTATTCTATGTAATTAACAATAGTTCACTCAAAAAGAGTAAAATGCTAAGGTTCTTTAATTAAGTTATGTGATGGTAGGATTGTGTTTATTTATCATTCCGTAGATAATAGTTCATTCCTGTAATCGTATTAATTGATACAAAGAGGAATACTGGAGTTAGTTAACTTGTTCATCTGGTTGTATTTCACTGTGCAGTAGTAGTGTAGTGAATAAAGCCCTCAACTTCTAGTTATTTAGTTTTCGGTTCGAACGCCGCTTCGCCTACTTGGATTTAGACAACCAGATATTATCTCTAGCCTTCATATAAAAGGGTATGACTTAGAGCTGAGTACAACTGAGTTGCATCTATTTAGTCTAAATTGAGGCAGTTTAATCCACTTTTAGTAAAGTAACCAGTTTTGACGGATTTTATTTATGCTGGACTACCATGTGACAATTTAAACCATCTGCATGTCAAATATTCCTACTTAATTTGATCATTAATAATGTTTTCTATTATTCATTATATAGGCCTAAGTCAGCCAAAAAGTGCTGATGAGTCCGGTATCAGGTCTATCTCTAATTCTCAGGAAGATGTATTTGAAAATAATTGCTGTTGTAAATCCGTCTTAGCCAATGCAAAATCTCATTTATGGTTCGAAGAGATAATTAGACGGTAAGCTACTAAAAAAGTTAATTTATTACACTTAAACTTTAAAAGTTTATCTGACTTATTCGCACAAAATAAAACACCAAGGAGTAATGGAATAATCAGTTACCTACTTGATAATGTAGTTGAACATTTGAATTTCTTGTTAACACAGTTTTTTCGTTTTTCTTCATCTTTATTTTTATGTAATCAGTTTGTCCTGCGTGATGGAAACAGATAGAAATGAACTGATATCGATGATGGAATCTTCGGACACTGATTCATCTACTCCATCACTGCCTCAAAAACCTAATGATTTTTTAATAGATATTGGTACTGCCGCTTACACAAACAGTATAGCGTTAGAAAATTGGCATAATTGCTTAAAAAATTCAACTGGGGAATTAGTCAGTCACGTGGCTATTACTTGTCTAGATGCATTGTCCAAATGTAAGCATCATTAATTATGAACTCGAACTATGGTTGTTTTTATAGGGCCAAATAATGTTGGTCATCAATCAAAAGTTTGTGAAAGGAAATGTCTACCGAATTCATTTCTATCCATTACAACTTCCCATTTGAAAAACTTCAAACATTACTGCATCCCAAAGACAGTAGAACTACTTCTGGATTATATTTTTTGTAAGTTGATGATAAGCTTAATATGTATATTTTAATCTACCAGTAGATAAGCTTCGCACTTTTTATAGATTATCATCTGTTCTAGGTTTAAAATTGAACAGTAAGAGTAAGATAACAAGTATAATCGAAATATTGTGTTCATAAGAGACGGACTTTCATTTATTGTTTATTTATTTAAACACATTGATACAAATGAGCACCAAAGTAAATATGTTCCACTCAGTAAAAAAATGAGATGATGGAGAGATAGAGGAAGGTGACTATAATAAACAAAGTAGTAAATGAGTAGAAATAAGTGAAAAGCGGTAAATAATAAGAAAAACAGTCCAGTTAAGAAAAATACAGTCAGAAAAATTTTTTCCTGTTAAGGAGGTTCCTCTCACTTTCATGAAGGAAGCAAAGAAAATCACAACAGGATCACCACTGGTTTCTGTCCTGAGCCATGTTTGATAAAGTTTCAAGCCATTTAGTTGCACTATCTCTAGGACTTCGACTAACCAGTCGTAAAGAACTGATACCAGTCCTGTACAGCTTTCTTTCATACCCCGGCACCGTGTCAAAAACTGACCACCTCAGTTTTTTCACCCAGTCTAAGTGTCAGCAAATAATGCGTGACATAGAATTCACTGGAGCGACATTTGTTGCGCATGTCCAAGCCACTGAAGTCGTTTCAAGATAGTGACATCAATCGAGTTGTCACTCTTTCCGAACGCACGTTGCCGAACTTCTGCATTACTAACATGGTGTTGCCATTGAATATCTACAATCCTTCGGAGACAATTATGATCAAACGCAGAGAGTTGTTGCACATTATCAACCAGGAGAGACTAGGTTTCATAAACATAAAACAAACCTGCTCTTACCAACGCGTTCCAAACTTGACCTTTACAGTCAGACTAACACCAAGAAGCTGCCAAAACGACACAGATTGTCATAGACCATTCTAGTTTTCACTATATGTAAGTTGATCTCATCAATCACTCCATCACTAGCACTCAACTATCCAAATACAGGAACTTTTCAACTTCTAACTACTCACTACCAAGAGCGAGCTTAGGGTTAGGGTCCTCGCCGTTGTGTACAAGTACTTTGCACTCTAAAGGTGCAAAGCACATGCCATACGTATGGACACTAGTTGTCAGCTGATTAAGTGCAGATTACATAGCTGTAGTATCGTTGCGCAGTAGGGCAATATTACCTGCATACTCAAGGTCAAACGTCTTTCTTCAGGTAACAGATACACACTACCATTACCTATTTGCCCATTGCTCGAATAGAACAATGAAGAGAGGTGTTTTTATGCCCTCACTCTGCCTGAGGTTTGTATATAGGGCCTTCAAGATGTAAATAAACTTCTCAGGCACACTTTTCTTCAATAAACAATCCCAGAGGACAGTCCTGTCCAGAGAATCGAAAGTGGTCCTGATATCACTAAGTACAACTATCATTGGCCTGCAATAGGTATTGTGGTGTTCTTATATTCTACAGAGGGTGAAGATATGTCCAATACATCCTCGATCAGAGCGAAAATCAGCTTGCTCCTCGTGAGTTAATCTTTTATGGGTTTCGAACAGCCTGCGAAGAATGACGGAAGCCAATAGTTTAGACTAAATTGAGAGTATAATTATCTTCCAATATTTTAAGCAGAGGTGGATGGTGGCTTGAAATGTTTTTGACTTACTGGAAATATCGGGGCAATATGCATATATGCCGGAAGAGACTAATCAGTTACAGTTTTTAACACCAATGGGCACATCCAAACAACCAATATATGAATTATCCTCCGACATCTGTTGCTTAGGTGATGTAAACCCTTTTTAAAGACAGGGAAAACTGTCACCTCATTCCAAGATGTTAGGACATCCTTTAATTCCTAAACATTTGCAAACAACTCAGTCAGTTCTCTAACCAGAAGTTCTTCACCATTTTTAAAAGGGTCAGTAGGTAAGTCGCACAGGCCTAGTTATTCATGTCGTTTCAAAAGTCGGAGATTCTTTGCGAATTTCCACGTTAAGTGGGTTAATCAACACTAACCAGGTAGGACAAAATAGTCTAATGGATGCCACTGGGGCAACAGAACATCTGAATTGCTCTCCGAGGAACCCTGCTCATCGTCCACGACGTTGGTAAACGTTTTTAGTTAGTGTCCCATCAGACAAACAGGCTATTTCATTTACACCAGACTTCTTGCTGCTAAAAGCCCGAATGAGTTAAAAAGGCTTTCGACGGTTACCAGATGCATCTGCTGTTTCCAACTCAATAGCACACTCTGACCACTAAGTTCCTCGTTCCTCACGCAAGCTTTGGATAGTTTTTTATGTAAGAATCCAAATTTACCGTCAAACTCGCGGTTAGCAGGAGTAGACTGACGTATCTCAATAAGTCGTAACAAGCCTGTAGAAACCCAGTGCTTACAAGCAGAACATTTCGCAAAGCTGCAGGCGACTTGCTGTTTTCATGACGTCATGCAAATGCAGCCAGTGCCCATACATACTTTTCAGTGGGTTTATTGCTAGCCTTAAACCTACCTTGGTTTGATACCTCGTTGCATCGAAAGCTGCAGCTGACTTCCTTACATCAATCCGCTTAGAGTGACAAATCTGTTGGTAACTGAGACGTTAGTTAAGATTAGCTCAAACGAGTGCATGATCAGAATCCAGATAAGCACTCCAAAAGAAGCGGGAGTCTTGTGCAAAATCACAGCAGCGGTAGCTGATCGCTATGTGACCAGTATGACCCCAGACTTAAGTTTCAGAGAGAGAGAGGGGGGCTTCAGGTAGCATATTGGCGATGGCTGTGTAGAAAGTTGGTGTTGGTCAGAAACAAGTTGTAGTCTATGCAAAGCCGTAGGAGACGGTCTCTACTTTTTGATTTGCGGCCAATGAATTCCTACTGACTATCCAAAGGACTGTCATGTGTACCTAGACACCCAACCTATGCATTCGAATCTCCGGTTAGCACCACCATATCAGTCGTACGAGCTTTCTTGAAATAATTCAAGTGTTCATAGAAATTATCTTTGATCTCATGCGGGCTTTATTCTGTCGGGATGTCCGCGGAGGTAACGAAAAGGGGTCGTTCCTCAGACCGATTTCATACTTTGATGGAGCCTTATAATCTAACAACAAAATGGACTGTTAATGAAAATTCATTCGATTAGTTCTGAGTCTGCTCTAGGACTTAGTGAGACACCAATGCGAACCAAACTGGGCAAGCGTATTACAGATTCCCCGGATTAGCGCATATAAAACGAGGTTTAAGACTCTATTGATGTAGAACAAATATGTAGTACTTCACTGGAGGCTTGAAAACGGGTCCAGGGTAGACAACGGATGTTGATCCTAATACTTTCATAAGTCATAGCTAAACCTATCTGTTGTCCAACTTGCATTAGTGTGCAAATGGTCAAGGAGACTCGTTTTAATGGGATACGTGGTTTCAAAAAGGCTGATTCGAAATTCTCATTCGGTGTTATCATTCAACTTCCGATCATTCATTGACTTGATAGGACAGAGTTTCCACTATAGGCGTGCCACTATGTAAGTTGAAAAATAAACTTAAACAGTGGGAATAGTCAAGACTAGAGAGATAAAGAAGCCTAAAATGAATTTATATGTAATTAAGTACTTCCAATGGTCGTTTGCGTAGATGAGAGTAAGCAAAGCGTTTTCTTCACTGATAATCGCCTCCATAGTTGTGTCCTCTGATTTAGAGATCCAATCCACAGTGCAGTGGAGCAACGTCATGAGGTACAGTCCCATGGTAACCGATAACCAAGAATAGGTTCGCACACCATCTAATAAAAGTTGTGTTTTCAGCCTCCCAATACTTTGCATCATTTATGAGTTGTCTAATTTTGCAACTTAAAATGAATTTATTTCCGAAAGAGCTTAATTTTCATAATCAGTTTGCCTTTATAGTAATTAGGCTGTTCGTCTTTTTTAAAACGTTTTCTATAAATCGGATTATATTATTCATATTTTGTGGATTAATGATTATTATTGTCTCGAACCTAAAGCTATATCATATCGGGGATCACTCGTAAATCGTTTCTGTAATAATTAAACACAAACCGATATAAATAGTTATTATTAGTAATCAGTTGAGTTTTCATTTATAGTGGGACAGTCTAATACCTTTAGTTCTTTTTAAGAAAAGTAATGATTTGTGCGATTTTTTTTCAGCCAGCTGTCCAGATGCAAAACTTTTAGCAACAATGAATAACCTTCTTAAAGGTTGGATTAATTCCGTTTCAAGTAACGCCAATGATTTGAAGCTGTTTGAAAAGATATATTCTCCTAATGTGATAAGTTCACATGGTAGTGATAAAAATAATCTTCAAAACATTTCACTCCCACCTTTAACAACACCTTTAAGGGATACAAATAATTTGCATAAAAAAGTTTATGGACATTCATTATCTAAAGCTTTTACACCTTCTGACGACAACTTATGTAAGTTTATATATGTATTTTATTATAATTTTAAATGTGTATTATAAATGGAGTTAATATGTTACTTTATTTTGTACCTAATAATTATTTCGACTGAGACTTGGTGCTTGTACAGTAATGTGTAGTTGAACATTTGACCTAATTATCCTAGCTTATCGAAAATACTCGGGAGTTTTTTTATCGTCTGTTAGTCTGTGTTTCCATTATTCTCATTTCTTTACGCATATTTCTTTCAAGCGACACCCGTGTTTTATATCCATGTCGGAGCAATGGAATCGCATATAGCGTCTATCTTTAGTTGTGCCTTTAGGCTAAATGTTCCTTTTATTGCATGTGGTTTAGATGGGCAAGCTACATTTCAGTAATCATAGTCGAATAACATCACGAGATTATTATGTTCATTAAAAGGAAATTTGTACGGTGTTCATCAATTCAGAACGTTTTATGTAACATCTATAGTAATCATTCAATGGTAAATACATATTTAAAGTAGAACTATGGTTGTCAGTCACTTCCATAATCATATATAAATCAACTTACTACTGTGTGACTAAATGTGTAGACCAAATACAGAAATTTTTATTTCAACGCACATGACATGAAAGTAGACCTGTAGACCTATCAGCAACCCTTTTCGCAATATTATTGGGAACAACAGCATCCGGTGTCACCTACAGTACACAACTGGATTTGTCTAACTGTTCTTTTTCTGGGGTTTAAGTCACGCTCATTATTCAAAAACTATCGATATTACACAGGGGCCTAAAACGAAGTATATGGAGGTAAGGTCAAACTTGCTACCTTGTATTTGAAGGTTTAATGCGTAGTTATTACTATTATTCTGCGTTGCTGAAACTTGAACATTTCAAGAATAAAAATAAAAATGTATATACAAACGTAACTTCTTGTTATTTGTTAACTTTGATGTATGATATTTTTCTCATATTATTTTTTATCTTGTGAACTGGTTAAACTACACGTTATTTAAATTGTTCGACCTGATTATGTTCCACGTTTTAATTTATCATTGTAAAATATAATTATCTATTTTTTTGCTATTATTATGATTTCCCTGTAGTCACTGAATACCATCCTATTTCACCGATTATACACTGTCAAAGATTCCATGTAAGGGTATCTGATCCTGGTCACAACTGTGAAAATGTAAGCCTACTTTATTAGTATCAGTGTACTTTAATGACTATACATGTTTTCATTTTCGTACACTGAATTATTTTGTGAATGAGTCGATTTCATCTTCTCGAATACACGACATTTGTTGATTCATTTCTATTTTGCGATTGTTTTCAAAAATTTAGTATATGAGCTTGATACGCGTTTACTTAATCATTTGATGAAACACCATTGAAATGATAACAGTTACCACTTTTTAAATTGGTTTTAGTTAGTTTTCTCATTTATTTTATGTTTGAGAAATAAACGGTAGATGTAATGTACTGTAAATGGTTGTGCAAAGTCAAAGCTGTCAAAGGAATTTTCTATACTATATTCGATGTGTTTTCTTCTTCTTATCATTAATAATAACTATTAACTATGTATTCCTGACCATTTCACTGAACACATGAGAATAACTGGTGGAAAATTATTAAGTTTTCCTATGATATAATTTCATTACGTGTATAAAACAAAGCTTTTTTAGTTAAGTTAAAAGCATTTAATAATTTATTTATGAAAAATAATAGACAATTCAAATATTTGTGAAAACGATGATTGGCCAGTGATTTGTTGATCATTCACATCATTTTCTCATGTTTAATACATCAGTATTTGTATTTTTCAGTTTCTTTCTATTTGTTACACAGATTAAATTGTATTTTCCTATATTCAAAGTTATGAACACTACATCTGATCATTAAAAAAAAAACGAAATTAGTCAAAGTGAATTCTAGATGGGTAAAATTCTTTTTTAAACACTTGTGTAAAATCATGTAAACATCGAGTCAGTCGTCATGAGATTTTATTGTCTATTTGTTTCAATTCAGTTAAGTGGTATGTTAATTCAAACGCGGAAATCAAGAAGTCACAGTGTTTCTGAATCATCTCATCAGTGAGTTAATTTGCAAAAATATGTATTATGTTGTTAACTTATGATTTAAAAGATAAGAAAAATATAACTTATTTTTTATCCGAAATTGATATTATGTTATACAATTGCTAAAGGTCATCGAACAGCTGTTTCGTTATATCTTGAAATGCTTGACAGTTATCAATCTACCACATCATCATTCTGTACGACACAGTATTATTTCGCTTATCTTAATATAGCATCCTTTAATCCATAGGGTTTCTTTATCTGTAGTATCATAAATCAGTGGCTTAGTGATTAAACGACTCACTTTCCAACCGTTTCTTTAAAAGTTCAAATAATGTTCCATCTATAACAATTGAGATTACCGGGTAATATGTCTAACCGTTTCATCAAAAATATGACTTAAGGTCAATAACGCGAACCTGTTCTGGTTAATAAGTTACATATTTGTAAAATCAGAGTATCACCATGATTATTTCCTGACGACTCTTTTAGGGTTACTTGTAACTTGAATATTTTACAATGATGGTGTCAATAAGCTTCTAGAAGACAAACCTTCAGGACTTGTGGTGAGCACAACAAATCGATCAGAAGACATAGATTTTTACTAGATTATTTTTGTGTGAAGGAGTACGGTTTCAACAATACATGTGCAGCATACAGTTTTTAATATATATCTTACAGAACAAAGGCTTGATCTAATATAAACGGCCTTAGCTGTTCTAGGGTTACTGCCAGTCCAAAGCCCGGATGAAGGAAGAGGGTTAGGCGTGAGGTCATCAACCCTGTTCCATAGAAAACAACATTGTTTAAAAAAACGCTGACTAGAGAAAATGACTCAAACCATTTTGGTTGCCCTGAGAGAAGAGGCATCTTCATTCAGAAGAATTATGACGCCTCATAGTAGAAACCGAGGTTCTTCGGGAGTCACGAGGCCGATGCCCCCTCTAACAACCAAAGCAACAATTAATATAGGTACATAAAATGTCCGGATAATGCGAGAGACTGGAAGAATCGGCCGAATAGCTTCGGAAATGAGGAGATACAACTTGTTGGTGCTCGGAATGAGTGAAGTTGCTTAAACGAAAGCTGGACAAAAAAGATTAGTTTTAAGGGAGGTGCTGTTGCAATTTAGTCATGAAGCAGTAAATGCTTCGCACATGCGGAGAGTTTCACTGATGCTATCCAAAGAAGTATGAAAAGCATTTATTGAATGAGAATTTCATGGATCTAGAATCATCAAAGCATCCTTCAAAGCAGAAGTAGGAGATCACAATTAAGTTTATCCAGTGTTATGCACTCACCAATGCTATCACTGACGACGATAAAGAGCAGTTTCATGAGAGGCTACGGTCGATCGTAGAAAAGTGCACAGGAGATGACCTGATCATCACACTACAGGGAACCAGATTGATCATATCTGTATCACTAAAAAATTCAGAAGATCAATGGAAGACGCATGAGCAAAGAGAGGAGCTGACAGCTTCAGATCACCACTGACTGGTGGTTGTCAAGATGAAACTGAAGTTAAAGAAACTCTGGACAACTGGGTAAACAGCGTTACAAAGGTTCAATACAGCCTTCTTTCCAGATACTATCAAACTCAACCAATTCAAGATAACTGTCAACAACAGGTTCCAAGCCTTACAGGGTCTACTGAAAGAAGAGAAAAACTACTATGGAGGATAACTGGATAAGGGTCAAAGAATCAACGTGTCGGGACGTCCTGGACCACGAGAAGCATCATCATAAGGAATGGATCTCTACGGCAACCCTGGACAAGATTCAAGAAATGAAAAACAAGAAGGCGTCAATTAACAACAGTCGGACAAGAACAGAAAAGGTCAAGGCACAAGCTGAATGCACAGAAGCAAACATGAAAATGAAGAAAAGCATTGAAGCTGGCGAGCAGAAATACATAGAAGAGCGAGCAACGACAGCGAGAAAAGCTGCAAGAGAAGGAAATGTGCATCAACTATGTGACACAACGAAGAAACTGGCAGGGAAATATGGTAAACCAGAGAGACCGGTCAAGAAGAAAGAAGACAAGCCAATCACGGAAACTCAAGGACAGAGGAACAGATGGGTGGAACACTTTGAGGAACTCTTGGATAGGCCAGCTCCATTGAATCCACCGGACGTCGAAGTAGCACTCACCGGCCTTCCCATAGATGTCACTTCACCAAAGATCGAAGTAATCGAGATGGCCACCAGACAAATCGAGAGTGGGAGAGTAGTGAGACCCGACAAAATACTAGCTGAAGCGCTGAATTCAGACAGAAGTAACTGCAAGCATGCTTATCGTTCTAACAGGAAGGTTTGGGAGAAAGAACAAGTGCCGACGAACTGAAAAGAAGGACGTCTCATCAAGATATCGAATAAAGGAGATCTGAGCGAATGTGAGAACTACAGAGGCATCAGTTTGCTGTCAATGCCAGGAAAGATTTCAACAGAGTATTGAGGAACCGGACGAAAGATTCAGTTGACGTCCAGCTTCGAGATCTAAAAGCTGGATTCCGTAAGGATTAATCGTGTACAAATCAAATCGTGACACTAAAGATCATCGTTGAACATTCATTTGAGTGGAACTCGTCACTATACATCAACCTTCTTGATTATGCAAAAGCATTTTACAGTGTGAACAAGAGGACCTTATGAAACCTTCTTCGACACTATGGTGTACTTCAAAAGATCGTCAACATCACCCGGAATTCATACGACGGACTGTAGTGCACGGAGGACAGCTGACAGACACATTCCAAGTGAAGATCGGTGTCAAACAAGGCTGCTAACTCTCCCCCTTTTTCATTCTTCTTCTGGTTGACTGGATTATGAAGACCTCCACATCTCAAGGGAAGCACGGAATATAATGGACAGCTGGGAATCAATTAGAAGATTTGGACTTGGCAGATAATTTGGCCCTTATATCCCATACACACGAACAAATACAGATAAAGACAACTAGTCTAGCAGCAGCCTTCGTAGCAGTAGGCCTCAACACACACAAGGCAAAAAGCAAGATCCTCAAATAAAACCTAGAGGACGCCAACCGAATCATACTTGATGGAGAAGCTCTGGAAGAGGTGGAAACTTTCAGGCGCCTGGACGGCATTATTGATGAACAAGGTGAATTAAATGCAGACGTGAAGGAAAGGATTGGCAAAGCACGGTCTGTATTCCTACGGTTGAAAAACATATGAAACTCAAAACAACTGTCAATCAATATCAAAGTGAGAACCTTCCATACGAACGTCAAGACAGTCATACTGTAGCGTATGGTTCTCAGATTTTGCTAAGAGATTCTGTAATTTTGTGTTCACATACATTCCCATTTGTGTTCTTCTCCACTACAAGAGTACTATCGGTAAATTTCACACATTTTCGTCCACTGAATTTCGTTTATGACTTTATTTTTCTTTAGTTATGTGAAAAATGTGTGGGCTAACAGTAAGTCTATTAGAATAGTCATATCTATCTTTTTCATAAGAATACAAATTTTATATTCCATAACCGAATTCTTGCTTTTATTCGGCACAAGCATTTTATAACCTTGGATACTTGCTAAGTACACTTCTGAAATTTGAGTTTTGGTAATTTTTACCTGTACTCTACATTTATATAGTAATCACATTTACTTTCAGTGAGTTAAATTACCTCAACGGATATATCACAGCCAATCATCAAAGAGATTCTGGTAAATCTAGCAATGAGCGTAATTTGCCTACTACCTCATATACTCAACACTGGGATCATGGTGCATATTGCTTATCTAATCGGACACCCAGTGATCCAATATCGTCTATCCAACACCATTGGCCAATCATGGAGAGTTATAATTTAGCTCTTGCTTGTCAGCTAGTTTTACTTTTTTTGCCACCTGTAATGTATTCCCGGTTAAAAATAATGGTTGATTTATTACGTCGAGTTCTATCAAATCATGAACGCTTAGCTTTGTGGTTGGTAAACCATGATTCACGTGAAAATATTGAAAATAAGTCTGAAAACATTTTACCATCCAATACTCTATCGTCGTTGGAAATTACATTGCATGTGGTAGGTTTTCGCATATATGACGATATCTGTTTTTATTTTAAAAATAAACATGTTTCGTCTTTGCGGCAATAAGTTGGTTTCACTTATCAAATGTAAACTAACTCAAATAAAGTTTATAGTACATATAGAGCTAGTGTATGTATTTGTTACTTAACCGGAGAACAGTACAAAATGTTTTGGATCTATATCTTTAATCGGGTGTGAAGTAATGGATTGTGTAGTCTTCTGAGTCGTAAAGAATCAATAATTGAAGAGTCTGGTTGATATGATTTAAAACCAACCTCAACAGACCTCAGATGCATGATGTAATTATTGTTATTCTTTATGTACTATGTTTACTCTTACTCATATTTGATGTTTTAATATCTTTTCACTTCTGCCGTTTCTCTATTTCTGCTCTGTTGCATTGTGTGACATCTTAAACCATTCTGCGTTACTGTAATGTTGTATTTTGTCGTGTTTGTGTATCCTAATTACAACTGTGTATAACGATTTGTCTTAGTTTTATCCAACAATTGTTTTTGTCCAAATGCAATGTAGTCTCATTTTCATGACTTTGGTTCATTCATAAATTAAATTAATTCAGTCGGCTAAATTTATCAACTGCCTGACAAAAAACCATCAGCACCACTACTGCCACAACCACCACAACAACATTGAAAACAACCGTTCATTGCTAATTGAACAACAGTTCCATTCACACTAGTGTTGTCATATACACAACTCAATGTGTTTTATTCATTCCATTTTTTTAACTCGCTAACCAAGTATAAGTTGATGAGAATTATTTTATATGACACTTCATTTAAATCCTACCAATATTACCTGGTAACTCAAGTGACATTAAGTGGATCCCGTGGATTCCGATCTTTACTATACTGCCTAAAATGCTAGTTTTCCACTCATTATGTCATCTCTGTATACTTAGTAATCTAGTCACCATTAGTGCAAAAAGGTATGTGTGAATAGATCTCGAGAATTAGATGTACACCATTTCTCTTGTCAAGCTCATGTGTTAGTCGTATAGCGAGCATTTTGTATCTATCATCTATCGTTGTATGGCATTTATAGGGATAAAGTACTTAAAGAAAAAAACTGCGGTTGTTCATGTAATTTCTATCTGAAAAATCTCGATGTATAAATTTGTCATATTTTTTAAAAATTCTAATTTTTCCTCTTCGTTTTGTGAAAGAAGGACTTTTTCTTAACCTACCATTAGTATTTCATGTATTGGTTTTTTAATAGCTGAATCACACGTTCTTTTCTAACATAACCTCGTCAGTTCCTTTTCAATACAAATCACCATTTGTTTAATACTTGTATTAGTAGAAGCAGTATGATATCTTGACATGTGGGGTTGTACGTCCATAATTTTCTAAAAATACATTTCTGTATGTAATGTTAGATGGACAATGTGAATGAATTTTTTCTTTACATATGAATCTGTTGTCATTAAAAAAGTCAAATGATTCTTCTTTTCTTCTGTTAAGAAAAAAAACGTTTCTATTGTAATTATTAGATCTCATGTTTTCGGTGTAAATGCGTTAAATTCCGAATCAGATTTTACATTAGTTTATAATTTAGTTATGACTTAGGGTTCAGTAGTCATTTTATCCAGATGAGTTGGTGTAAAACATGTTGAATGTCAAAACACCCTCTCTAGTGCACAGTAGTAAAAAGTATGTCTTCTACTCTATCGACACCTTAAAAATCAGTGATAGAATAATGAGTTCTAGTCACCAAAAATATCTCGGTTTTTAAAATTTCTGTGGTTTGATATTGTCTGATGTGATCATTCTTTTTTTATTTCCCATAGAAGCACGCAATGTGCGTGCATGTCATACAGAATAAAATTTTGTTATGCTTTTGTATCAATTTATGCTGAGATATTTACTTTTCAATATGTTTTACCCCAAAGATTGTAAAACACTTCGGCTCACTACTTTTACGTGTATCGAGTGATTCCGCTGTTAAAAACACTGTCAACAAAACAACTTCACGTATTCGTTGGAGAGAATGTCTTCTTTGTTTATTACTTTGCGACCCGGAAAACTTCCTTTTAACATTACCCAATGGTTTACAGTCTTGTTTACGATCTGTAAATAATAATAATACAACAAGCGATAATATTAAAACAGAACAAGAAAATATTCTACACATTGAAGAGGTTAGTACTATGTTCATCATCAAGATTTTTTGTAGCAAAATATTTATGACCGAATTATATTAAAAATGATAATAATTTGTCGAATTATTGTCGCTACTTGCAATCAAGTGTTTTAGTAGTATAAACCCAGTCATTCATATATTTTAGACTTTCGTCAATTTTATTACTTGTAGTGAGTAACTAACTTTCTTATTTGTTCATTTTCGGTCGATTTAGCTTATTGGATTAGACGGTTTCAAGTCACAGGGTTCAAGAAAGTCCCAGTTAGCTTGTTCATCATCGTCACCAGAACATGTATCTTTGCCAGCATTTACTTCATTAATCAAATCAGCATCCAGTACTAGTTTACAAAGTAGATTGTTAAAATTAACTAGATCACGAGATAGTCTCATCAAATTTGCATCAACTCCTACGAAAAGTGGTAGAAGTAGCAGTTTACAAAACTCTCCGCGTTCTACCGATACTTTTAGTTGTCGTCGTATATTTGATGAAAGTAATTTAGATATTGGAAATCTAAGTATAAAATCACATTCTACACTTTTTATCAGTGAAGAGTCTTGTGATCGGTTTGGTCGTTCCGGGAACTGGAGTGTAGAAAATTCTCTGCCTGGTTCACATTCAAGTATCTTTTTTCAGGTATGTACATGTTACTGATGTTTTGGTATTAGGTTTTTCTTAATTACGTTTATAATCTACATGGTAGTTGTCTGGGGTTGCAGCAACATCTTGATGTGTTCATGTTCATAGTTTGACCCTATGTAAGTCAGTCTCTAAAGTTGTCCGTAAGCTTTCTTTATCCACTTGTCATGAAAATAGGTAAAAATGTTTTATAAATTCCATCTAGACACTGGGAAATAGTAAAACTGGTGTAGTAACACACAAATAAAGTATAATTTACCTGGAGATAGTAGCAGCAGAAAACCTCAAGCAATCCAGAACCACTGAACATATAATTCAGAAAGTCGTTTAAAGTGTTGTTTTGCGTCACAGTGTTGTCTTGAAACGAGAAAACATTTTTAAGTCACTAGTTGGTCTTTACTATAACCCCATAACCTGAATGTGATTTCAAACTTTTCATGCTCATGAAAATAAGCCGTATAAACCTCAAAAATAGTAAGATTACTGACTAATCCAATGCTATGATCAATTCAACATTCAATTAGATTTCGACGGATTCATTTTATAAAATAAAAGAATGCTGTCTAGTTTTGAGATATCATAGTAGCATGTCATTAATTTTATGTAAAAATCAAATATTGAAAGGTTATGTAGTGATCAGTTATTATCTCATTATAGTATCCTATTGTTATATCTTTGCTCAGTTTTAACATTTGTCCAGTATTAAATCATTTTAACGTAATCAAAATCACCGTAAAGGAGATCTATATATAAAAGTAATATTTTTTTACATGAAATATCTCCGCATTTGCAGTCTGTTTTATCTTCTTAATGTTTTGGGGGTTGGATCAAGAGGTTTTGGTACATAGTGTGGAAGAGTAATCGTGGGCGCCCCCCCAGTTGCGATCACCTTTCGTTCATTACTACGTTAGGTCTTGGATACCAAAGATCATAGCCTGGATTGTGTTTAAACAACCTGACGATTGTTGGTATACCTCGCTGGCTAGTGTTAGCCGGGGCAAACCCTTGGTTCGTTCTGATTATCCCCAACCAGTTTGTATTTCCAAAAGTTCATGAAGCGTTTTTCATTTTCATACCTCACCATTTATGATTTTTTAGAAGTAAGAATTGTAATACTATTCATTAAAATATTTCAAAGCATAAATATCCATAATTTATCTTGTTCATTTTTTTTGCAATTTTATAGTCTGATCTAGATCCAAAACGATTAGCTGCATTAGGTAATACAGCTCATTTGATCAAGCTTTTAAATCAAATTCTCAATGACCGAGAAATGAATCCACGTAGAAAAATGAAATGTCTTCAAGATGTGAGTTCAAATTAATTTTGTTTAAGGAGTACTGTTGTTTCCTACCATTTTGTTTTCGGAAAACTATATTTTATTTAGAAAAATCAGAAAGATGGCATGAGTTGTTCCTCGCAAAATATTGTCCAAAGTGATGTGTTACGAACGACAGTTTTTCTCAGTGTATTCGGCAGTCAGGAATTACGTTTGTTATTCACTCATTATTTTTTCAGTCAGTCAGTTACTACGTAGGACCAGGCATATTTATGCATCGGTCGAAGTTGCCATACCTCATTAGCACAACAAGATCAACACCGGATTCATAGAAGTAATTAATTTAGTGGCGGTAGTATATAAAAGATAGGTTATATGTAAGGATATAGTATAGGAAAGAAGAAAGTTATAAAGCAAATTTAATCTCAAGGTTTAAGGGAAGATAAAGAGTGTATACACCTACGCCATTGTGATCGATTCTGAGCCATGTCACCGAGAGTCTCCAACCATTGGTTACGATAGTCACGCGGACCCCAACCAAGTAGTCTGCATCTTCCAACATGGCTCAGACTAGAAGTTAGTGACTTCAAGCACTAATGCCACGTTTTGGTTTGGCCGCCCCTAACTCTCTTCCAACCACCCCCTACACTAGTCAGCATAGGGCGTCGTGGTAATCAGTGTTCATCATTTTCTGGTATCTTACTGTTAAGAATTTACAAGAATTAATCCGGACAGTTTTCTCATTTCCTACATTTGTTATTTAATTTTCGTTACTTGTTTACATCTTTCAATGAACAGTTTCGCAAATCTCATCCAGATGTATTTTGGTTACGTTTTGGTAATGAAGAGAAAGCATCCAACTATTTATCCCGTTTACAACGTCGTATTGATTCACAAACTCAACCTAGTGTTTTTGAGAGGATTACAAATGCACTACGTCGTCGACTTCAGAGTCCTGTCAAGCAACAGGATTAGCATCAGAACAGCTTTTATACCTTGTATTTCGATTGTTCCGTGTAAACATGTGAAAAGTTGATTCGATTGCTACTTTTCTTGTAAATGATCGTATATATCGTCTAATATTTTTTAAAATCCAGATTATATAACACTATTTTTCTAAATATTTGGCCTTATGTTAGATGAAGTATAATATGTAGTAATTTACTGTTGCTTTATTCACTAAAAGCGTAAATTTTAATGAATTCTTAGTAACAGCGTTTTCCAAATTCGAATTCAGACGATTTCAACTTACAAATTAAGCATATAACTTGAGATATTTCTCTAAGTAGTTATCACTATGCATACAAAGCGTGCATTGTTACAAATTGGACTTCATAATTTTCACTCAAGTTATTTTACACAGCAATCAGTACTCATAAAGCTACAGAGATACACGAACTTCCTAACTGTTTCAACAACTTATCGGGAAGGATGAGTACAAACAAGTTGCTTCTAATCTTGGAGAACTTCACGTTTTGATATCGCCATGTCATTTCTTAACCTTTCAGCTGTGATTGAGTAGCTGATTTGACAACGTTCAGCAAAGTGACAATTTGTGCATATTTCCCGCTCAAATTAAAAATGTTAGTTTTAAACTTCATAGTTTTCGTCAATGTGTATATTATTATTATAATCTACGTGTTGAACAACCAACCATTTATATGGAATGTAAGATCTGGTACATATGTGCATCGGTTCAAGTTGTCGCACCCCATAAAGGCAGTGAGATAAGATTGTCAGGGAAAATCCCGACAGTAGTAGAGTCAATAACAGTGTTAACGGTAAGAGAAAATATTAGGCACTCAAGATATGATTCGAGGAAATATAGATTAGTGAAGTAAAAAAGTTTATGAGGAATATAGAAACTTAGCATCCAAGGGAAGACAAAGAATGAATGTACCTGCGCCATTGCAAATGATTCTATGCCGCTAACCGTTGGTTACGAAAAGCACTCACACCTCCACCCGGTAGTTTGTATTTATTTAAATGGTTCATCCCAACAGTCAGTGCCTTAGTTTGGCCATTCCTAGCTTTTTTTCAAAGTTTATGTACCGACCACGTCAGCCAACGAGTATTTACTGCTTCAGTAAATTAGTTTTCTTTATCTAATGTCCTGTGTGCAACATTGTCATTGTTCACTCTAAGGACCCAACATTCTACAGGAGTGTTTCGAAGGCTTCTATGATCAAATACTAGTAACCTACAAATATCCTTTTTTTTAAAGTCACGTTTCACAGCCATAAAGACAGCGAATCGTTAAGCCGTATACACGTTGTGGTCGGTAAACGAACATCTTGCTTACGCTACAAGTGACGCTACTCAGCCGAGACTTCTGAGTCTGTATATAGATTTCACCAGGTCACTAAAGCTGATGAGACTCCCAAGGTTAATTAAAGTGATCAACACGCTAGATTACCCCACTCCCTATCATTAGTTTAGGCATTGACGTAGATCAGTCCTGAAGAAACTTTCTGTAGTTAGGAGAGGCACATTCAAAACATGCTTGCATTGTTGCTCAAGAGGAGCAGAGAACTTCATTTTGTCAGTGTCTTCAGCAAATGGGGATTACGGTGTCTGTGTATTGTAAACAAATCTGATAGACCAACCCTTGATAAGTTAGATGACAAAAGCGTTACTACTTGAAGTGTGTTTGTGATCAAAGCTAACGCATACCGCTTGAGATTCGAAAAACTGATAACACTTCACTTTAACTCGAAAAGTAGTGCTTGAGTGAGGAGTTTGTACACTGTTGGATTTACCTTGGTACGCTTCTCAGTGTCAAATACTTCAACAAAATATCACGATCAGCGTAGTTGAACGCTACCTTGAGGTGAAGTAATAAAACTGTAGTTGGGCGTCGGCACGTATGTCTATACTCTGGAACCTGAGGGAAAGTGGATATTTGGTCACTACTTCAAAGATCAGGTTTAAAACTACCCTGGTTTTCCCGTGTCTGTTCTTTATGAACTTAATTTGAGTGATGTATGATCATAGAGGCTAGTGTGTTACACGCTACATGCTTCTTTTGCTATCACAAGGGAGTCTCTATCCTTTCTTACAGACTGGAACAATCAGTCAGATAGGATTATGTTCAGTTCCCAGACTCCAGCTAATATCTCACTGCGAAAATGTAGTCCATCGTTGGGTCGGTGTTGGAGGTCACTTCGTCAGACGTAGTTTATCCTTCAGTTAAAAGTTGGTGGATGCCAAAAATAAATGGTTGTTTGTGCGTCGTTGCAGGATCTTCTTCCCGTTATCTATTTTGTAAGCCCGGATACCGTAATATATGACTGTCTTTTAGTTTTGTATAGTATACCTACTTGGACGTTAAAATCCTGTAGTAAAATTATCAAGTTCAGCGTGTTTTACAGGGAAACAAGCTTTCTATCAAACTGATCTTGATCCGAACTGCAGTCAAAGAGAGCGTATGCAGAGAGGACCAGAAGGCAACAGGATGTCTTTTTGTGTCCTTAATGTGCCGTTAACTCGGACGGCGCACAGGTGACTTTATAGGAATTCACTTTGCGAGAGAGCGTTTTACTGTGCCTACTCCAGTTCGGTCATGTATAGTAGAAAAAGAATCTCCAGATACACGAAGAGCAGATCACACCAGTTCTTTATATTAGATGAAGTGTGGTCAAATAGACGCTTGTTGTCTTATGTGATATAAAATAGGAATATTGATAGCTCCAGGATGTAGTTCAGAGCATAATTTGAGACCATTTCGTAAAATCGAACTGTAAGCTTTGATGATTAAGTCATATAAGTGATGAATACATTTGATCGTGATAAAATACCTTGAGTACTGTTGGAGGTGTGTGGACAGTTGTCTCTCCTCGGTTGATTGCACTGTGATGAGGAGGCTGGAAGAGAACCAAACCAAAACATGACATCAGTCCATGAAGTCACTGACAATTGGACATAGCCATATTAATAGATATAGGCTAGCTGGTTGGGGTTCATGTGATTACCTGAACAATTGGTTAGAGACTTCACACGACATGGCTAAAAATCGTTCGCAATGGCGCAGATGTACTTGCTCTTTGCCCTGTCCGTAATTATGAGATTCTAAATTCCTCAAAATCTCTTTATTTCACTAATTTATATTTTCCTCTCGAATCCTATCCTTAATGCCTAATCTTTCCCATTACCACTGATACTGTTATCATCTCCACTATTCTGAGGTTTGGTCTGACAATTTCATCACTGTGCTAATGGAACTTGAACCGATGTACCTACGTACCACGTTCTACGTTGTGGTTGACTGACTAAAACTTGGCCTCCTCGAGTTAAGAGAATTAGTATTTGACCATCGTTATCTCCAAAGGAATGCCGGCATCTAGTGGCAACACCATGTTAGTAATGCAGAGGTTCGGCAGTGTGAGTTGGGCACAGCGATTATAATTCGGTCGGAGTCACCACCTTGAAACACAGACTTTGGTGGCTTGGACATTTCCTACTAATGTCGTCTCAGCGAATTTCGCATTGTGCATAATTTGTCGACTCTGGGACTGGTTGGAAAAAGTGGTGAGGTCATTGCATGACATGGCGCCGTGCTATGAAAGAAAGCTGTACAGGACTAGCTTCTGTCGGTCTTTGTCGACTCCCTGGTTGTGGTCCTAGGGATGGTGCAACACAATCGCCATATATTACGCATGCCCAACCACCAATTACGGCGGGCAGTGCTGACTAGTGTCGGACACAGTTAGAAAAAAGTCATGAGTGGCCAAACCAAAACGAGGCAGCAGTCCATAAAGTCACTAACTTCGGACTTGAGCCATGTTGGTAGATGCAGACTACTCGGTTGGGGTCTGCGCGACTATCGTAACCAATGGTTGGAGACTAGGCGACATTGCTCAGAATCGATCACAGTCACATAGGTGTATACGCTCTTTGTTTTTCCTTGAATTGTGAGATTAAAATTACTTTATACCTTTCTTTCTACAAACTATTTTTTTCTCCGTATTATATTCTTGTCAATTTTTCCTTTGTACATTACTGCTATTGAACTAACTAATTCTATGAAACTTGTGATCTTGTTGTGCTAATGACGTATAGCAACTTGGACCGATGCATTTCTATGCCTAGCACAACGTTTTAACCAGCTGAGTGACCTTGAAACCCTTTTTAATGCATGTCATATCTCTGATACAATACAGTCGCTCACATGAAAACATATGGTTCTCTCAGAATATTCCCAACTTTTAAACACACGAATGGCTTACAGGATAGTAAAATATTCTAAAATGTATATCCGTCATATCTAGTCACTTGTTCTGTTCATAATTTATATTGCTTATTCCGCATGGATAAGTATAGGAAGCAATATCTATGTACTGCCAACAACCGATACCCATTGCATTTAACACTCATTCAAATCGTGAAATCAACATAACCAGTCACACTCAATATTTTGATTTTCATGTTGTTCCAGATAGAATCGGTATCAACAGTCCCCAATATTCGTTGACACGCATTATTACTTAACTGATGAACAAATAAACTAGAAACAAACTGTATCAGTCATGAATAGTTTTTGGGTGATGGGAGTTTCAGAAACAGTAGATGATCAATGTTTTTCAGAAAAATGATTTAATGGTCTATACATTTCAAGAACTATCTGAAGAATACACTAGTATATATATATATATATATATATATATATATATATATATATATATATATATAAAGTCGTAACTTCACTCATAGTTTTTAATTGGTGCTAATAGACTAGACAGTGACTAGTCATTTGTAAATGCCTGTCGCACTGATTAATCGCGTCTCCAATAGCTCAGTGTTAACATCTCAGACAGTGAAACTGAGTGGCGCTAGTTCGAACCCGACATAGAGTATCATTTCTCTCAAAATACTCAAGATACGCCCTGCTGAATAGTGGCAACTAGCCTGAAACTTGGGTTTACGGTTTTCTGCCTACTGTCTCCAACCACCTAGCATTTGAATATAGTGATTCTGTATCTTGTAGTGTAGTAAGCGAATTTCCACAGTTGTTTAATTTACATTGTTATTATCATACTCCCTGGGGATTCAATGACTAATACACTATTCACATTAAGATGATTAAGTTCAACATTTGAAAGTGATAGGATTATTAAAGTACTTTTTAGAAAATGTACATTCAAATCAGCAAGTTGTACAGAAAATTTTCAATTATTTTGTATACAAAAAAGTATGTGTCAGTGATTAAATCTAACATTTACTTTTTATCTGGTTCCGTGTAACCTTTAATAAATCGCTTTGGTATTGAGTACGATTCTGTAATGAAAAAAGGGAATTAAATTTAAAGTATATCATAATTCTGCTATTAGAATTTAGTTCTGAATTACAATTTTAAAAATGAGCTTCGTTAATCGGTTGGTTAACATGAATTCAATGTGAAGACGATTTCGGTCATTGGGTTCTTTCAAATAGACGAATATTGAAAGCCAGGGAAGCATGGCACAATACTATTTCACCGTAGTTTTTAATTAATTTATTGAACACTTGATCAATTGATCACATCGTGTCAGTCAACATTTTGCACATAAAGTACGAAAATAGGCTAGAAATGTAAAATAATTTCTCATATATAAGTAGTATCTCGCATGCATCTCGTTGTCATCGAAAAGCTATTATGCAGAGTAACATTCTACCTTGGAATAATTTCAGGTTATGAGACTATATCTCTATTAGTAGAAAACATGCATCGATACTAAATAATTGGCTCTTTCAGGAATAGAATTAACTATGTTAAGGTTGGATACATGTTTTTAGGTAGTGAATTTTGTTCTTTGTGCTGTTGTGAAATGTGCAAACTTGGATAGATATATTTTTGCATGACGTTTTATGTACAACATATTTGTCTGTAGTTCGGGTTTATTTAGGATATTGTGTAAGACAAATATTCAACTCTATTTAATTATAAGTCTTTTGTTACTGAATATGAAATTAATTCAAATATTTTATGATGTATGACCAGTCACCCAACACTTCACAGTACAATGTAATCTAGGGTAGGAGTAGGATGGAAGAAAGTTAAGAGAATCAAGCTAAGTCAGATAGGTCCATAAGGTTATTGGCTGTTAAACTGAACTATGTTAGTAAGTCCAGTCTACTTCGTTGGGGTCTTTGTAATTATCGTGACCATTGGTTGGAGATGTTAAATCATATGACTCAGAATCGGTTGAAAAAACGCAAATTTATTCGCTCTTTGTCTACGTGTAAACCCTGACTTTCAAAATAACTTAATACTGTAATTAAACTAATTCATTCTTCTAGAATCCTAATCCCTATTTCTGGTCTTTTTTTACCATTGATACTTCTGCTATTTCAGTATTCGCCTTGACAATTTCTTTTCGCGGTGTTAATGTAGTTTAGCAACTTGGAAGTGGGTGGAGATATGTGCTAGATGCTACATGCATGACCGACTATTTGATTGATTTTAAAGTCTTTTTGAACATATAAGTGTCTAGAACAAGAGAGATTATAACGACTTTTACTATCAATTGTCCTCATCAAGATTTGACATGTCTTATTATGAAACTATCCAACTGGTACGTAATTATACAACCAAGTTGTTGTAATGATAAAATAGAATGTTACGTAAATCCTGAGAATATTTCAGTATAAAATGGCAGTCAACAACTGCTCATTTATCTAATTAAGTGAAATAAATATCGACAGACAGTATATATATATATATACATGCATGCATGCATGTATATAAGAACAGACAACAGCTATTATTTGCTTTTAGATTTTACTAATCTTACCTGTAAGTAATTTCGAGATAGCTACAAGGTGAACACCTTGGGCTTGAATGACAATTTTACCCGGGTACTGTTGATCATCCGTTCTCCCGGCTGAACAGGCTAAATTTATTTTCAGCTGTTTAGAAAATGAATCTGGATTAATGTGAAAATTTTCCAATTCTGCTATTCGAGTCTAAATATATGGTAAATCCGTAAATGAATAAATAATCAACGCATAGATAAGTTAAATAAACATGATAACTAAAGAAATTATTTGTCATCAATATTAACAGTAGTCTGCAATCATTAACTATTCTTTTTCCTTCAGTAAGATAAAATTAGTTGTATACAAAATCACATGTGTTTTCTAGGTTAAATCATCTTTTTATTTATGTTCGTATACTGGTTGACAATTTTTTGTAAACAATTAAGAGATTTTTAACTAGTTAGTTAATTAGTTGACAGTCCTAACAACGATAAATGTCATTCCTCAGATTATTCTTCTGAGGTGGGACAGGTTAAGTATTGGTAAACAGTTGCGCTCAAAACAAAAGTTTGTGATACATAAAGAAAATGTTGGTCGCTATCATTGTTTTTAAAATAAACGCTAACTTACTAATTTTTTTCCAGCTTTCGTAACAATATACAAATGTATATGAGGTGGTTCTTTTCTATTCCAGATTACAGGGGTGGACATGTCCGGATAAGTTATACGATAAGCAGTAGTTAAGTTTTTTAAAGCTTGAGAAATAAGATCACCAAAACGAATGTGAAAAATTGGATTTGATATGGTACTTTCAGGGGATTCAATAAAAGTTTTCGGCTCACATATGCTCGTTAATAATTTGTCTAAACGAACCAAACTATAAGGAAAACCAATAATCTTCAAATTGTTTACAGTTAATTAAATTTGAACTTAGTGATACAAAAAAACAATTAAAAAGAAAAAATGAGGGATGGACGTAGCTTTTTTGAAATCATGCACGATTTAATATTTATCATTTATATATCTGTAATGGCAATCAATTTCATGACCAAAGGCCCAAGTCTAAACATTCATCTAAGTAACCAAATATTGTTTCAACAGTTATTGTCAGTTGAAGAAAATTTCCTTCAGTCAAAGTTAGAAGTAAAAATAATGATTAAAATGTCATTGAAGTGAGGTCACAGACTAAATGGACAGTCAGAGGTAACTTCTATCATAGTAGCATCCATATCCTGAGGTACAATACATTTATTTTTACTTAAATCACAGCTGACATATTCGTATATGAAAAGAAATAAAACAGTATACAAATATATTTCACCAACGTACAAGGGTTGAACACTATAGAAATGTTCTATTGGGAAATATCCAACTTTATGATAAGATAACTAAGGAGGTGAATGTTATGATAATTGACATAATCATTAATTAATGAAATTGACTGAGAAATTAGTAAAATTACTTTGCTTATTAACTAGCTCGAAAGAGCTAATAATAAAGAAAAACATATTTATTCAGCAAATAAGCACTAAAACATATCCTGCATTTACCTCGGATCTGTAATCAACTGAAGCTTATTGTTTCGAACATAACTATCAATAGTCCTTCTGGCTTCTGATTGGCTAATACATTCGCCTGACCTAGGGAACAGGAAAAATGATTGATGAGTTTGGAGAGATAGATCAAGTTGAAAATGGTTAGTTTATAAGGTACTTAGGATTATGTTATATCTAGAGCCTTTATTCTTAATATGCCGCGAACTACTTGACTACTTGAACAATAGAACCCGCAACGTCGCAAAAAGAGAGAAGACAAAGACTGGTAAGCAGGAAGTTTATTGCCCCGAACAGTGTCAAAATATAGCACAGAAATCTCGTGTATTTATAGTTACTGGCTGAAAATAAATTATCATTTAGGTCAACCAATAAGCACATAGGTATCAAACTAATCCATCCAATGGAGAAGCTCCACGCTGGCATTTCTAGAACATTCCCCTAGCCGTGATTGGATGGAATGTCTGCGGCTCTTCCTGGGCTTCTTAGGGCTTCCGAAAGTCTACCGACGGGCCGTCCTTACACCTCCCCCCTTTGAAGTTTGCGGTGTATGACTTCCTTTTAGGATCTACTTGAAACATTTCTGTTGCTCTCCTTTTTCTACTCAGCACCCTTGTCGGCTGTGCGTTTCCACTTTTACGTTTTCTAAGTCTTTGGTTGTTGCATTCTTCCGGGCTTTCCTGCGTTATATCCACCAGCAGGTGCAACGGTAGTCGTGTATCTGTCGCTGTTCTATGATCTTTCCTAATCTGATTAATGTGTCTGACACACTTCCCGTCCCTTGTCCGGACTAAATAGAGTACCTTCCCAATCCGCCGTTCTATGACGCCCGGTTTCCATTTCTGACCGCCTTGATACCATTTTACCATTACTTTCTCTCCTACCTTCAAGCTGCGGTCGCTCGTCTGATACTCTTGTTCAGGTTTCGTTGTTTTCTTGGGTGGTAATATTTTGTCAAATATCGTCCGGATTTTCCTTCCAAACATACATACTGCTGGTGACTTCCCTTCTGGCACCACCGGGTTAGGTGTGACTCTGTAGGTCATTAGGAATCTTCTGACCACCTGTTCCGGGTTACCCTCTCTTCCCCCCTTCAGCAAAGCTCTTTTAATCGTATCTACAAACCTCTCAGCTTGTTCATTGGATTGGGGATGGTATGGGGGAGACTGAAGGTGCCGTATACCATTTTCACTGCAAAAATGTTTGAACGTTGAAGACGTAAATTGAGTACCATTGTCCGTTACTAAGATTTCTGGGACGCCAAAACAAGCGAATAGACTTGATAATTTGGAAATTGTGTTTTCTGACGTCGTACTTCTCATTTCATATACTTCCGGCCACTTTGTATAGGCATCCACTATGACTAAAAAGTTCTTTCCATGTATCGGCCCGGCGAAATCCGCGTGTAATCTTTGCCAGGGCCCATCCGGTTTCGGCTACGGTTGTCGTTTTACTTTCACTGGGTTCTTCGCCGCTTCTAAGCATGATTCACAGGTTTGGCACAATTGTTCTATCTCTTGGTCCATGGAAGGCCAGTACACGTAGCTTCGTGCCAGTGATTTCATCTTACTCATACCCGGATGCCCCATATGGAACTGCTTGAGTACTCGTCTTCGGAGAGTGCTGGGGATGACAATGCGTTGGCCAAACATGATACAGGAATCGACAATTGTGAGAGATTCTCGTCGACGGAAGTATTGTAAAATCTTTCCTTGCAGTCGTTCTGAAGGCCACTTATTGAGTAGAAAATGGCGGATAGTTTTCAAAGTATTATCTCTTTTGCTTGCTTCTTTAATATTTTCGTATGTAATCGGCAGGGTAGCAATAGCATCTGTTAACACAGCCTGAACTTCCGCTTCAGCTTCTACTGCGGCGACCAGTACATCTTCTTCATGTTTCGTCTGGGAACTAATCAGCCTGGAAAGTGCATCAGCTTGTCCAAAATTCGTCGTAGGATTGTATTTAATCTTGAAATCATATCCCAAGAGCGTTGTTGCCCATCTCTGTAAGCGGTTAGCTGTATAAACAGGAATACCCTTCTTGGACCCAAAAACTGTTAGTAGGGGTTTGTGGTCTGTTATTAATGTGAACTGCCTACCAAACAACATTTTGTGGAACTTTTTAACCGCGAAGATAATGGCTAGTGCCTCCTTCTCTATTTGACTGTAGTTTCTTTCTGTCACTGTCAGTGATCTGGATGCGTGGGCAATGGCTTTCTCGGACCGGTCAGGGTAAATATGTGAGATCACAGCTCCTATTCCATAGTTCGATGCGTCTGCCGCAAGTACGATAGGGAGTGCTGGGTCATAATGTGCAAGCAGTAGATTTGAGGAGAGCAGCTTTTTCAGCTTTGAAAATGCATCCTGACATTCTCGTGACCAGACCCATTTGGTATCCTTCTTTAGCAAATCATTTAACGGTGCGCGCCAACGGTGCAGATCCGGTAGAAAAACACCATAATGGCTAATCATTCCCAAGAAAGAACGCAGGGTTGTTACATCAGTTGGTGGGGGCATTGTCTTAATCGCTTTAATGTTTTCAGGGTCAGGTCTCCTTCCGTTCTTGTCAATTATAAATCCCAAATAATGTATCTGCTCCATGTAGAAATCGCATTTTTCAGCACGCAATCTGAAACCATAATCCTCTATCCGTTTCAGGACAGTATCCAGTTTTTTATCCAAGTCTGCGTAATCTGTACCCATAATAAGTATATCGTCCAAATAGGCAGCAGTACCAGGAATGTCCTGTAACATAGTATCCATGACTTGTTGGAAGATTGAGGGTGCTGTCTTTACCCCAAAAGGAAGTCTGTTATATCGGAATAATCCTTTATGTGTATTTATCGTTAAATAATGCTTGCATTCTTCAGCAACTGGAATCTGTAAGTAAGCTTCTGATAAATCTAGCTTTGCAAAATACTTTCCACCATTCAGTTTCGCGAACAAGTCTTCTGGTACTGGCAATGGATACTGGTGTGCTTCCAGTGCATCGTTTAGTCCTGTAGAATAATCTGCACATAGCCGGATGTTTCCGTTAAGTTTCCTAACAATCACTATTGGTGCCGCCCAATCAGAAAAATTTACTGGTTCTATAATTCCGCTTCTTTGGAGTCGTTCTAATTCCTGCTCAACAATTGGTAGAGCTGCGTAAGGTACGGGACGTTTAGGTCTGAACACTGGTCTTGCTCCCGTCCTTACGGTTAGTAGTGCTTTCACTTTTCTGCATTCCCCCAATTCTTCGGTGAATACTTGACTATGTTTCTGGAGGACCAAGTTTCTCAGGTTTTGCTCAGTGGGTACACCCGATTTCACCCGACTACATATATAATTAATAGGCTGGTTAGCCAGATGTAGCATTTCGATTAGGTCAAGACCAAGCAAATCTAGTCCTGGACTTCCTGTGAGATATACTTTCGCGTTCTTCTGTACATCTCCTTTTTTAACTGGACAGTATATCTCTCCAACAATATTTAACTTTCCTCCAGATGCACTGTGTGCTAACTGAGTTGTAGGGAGCACCGAGGGTTTGCCAATATGACTCCATGTTTTGCGGCTGATAAGTGAAATATCTGAAGTAGAGTCAAGCTGTAGACGAGCACGGCGTCCATTAATCTCTAAGGTCACATATTTTCTTCGATGATGTTCTGTTTTGGTATGTGCCACCATTATTCTATTGGTAGATGAACAGTTTTTACGTCTTCGGAAATGAACACTTGATGGACGACGGTGCATATTCTTCTTACAACATGTTTCTTTATGTCCTTTGAGCTGACATCTAGTGCACCGGTAGTTTTTGTATGGGCAGAACCTTTTGTAATGCAGCTCTCCGCAAAACCAACATGCGGATGGAGGCTTCTTAATGGTTGTGTTCTGCTTTTGCTTCCCACTTACTGCCTGTACATAAGGTAGTCGACCATTATTCTCTACCATTGAAGTGTCATGCTTCAAGTTCACCAGATGCTGACATTCAGTAGTCACCTCTTGAAGGGTGATATTTGGACACTGTTCAATTTTACTTAGAATTCTGGTTCTGATGTCGGCATCTTCTGAAGACTGTAAGCTGCATACGAAAACAAGACATTTGAATTGGTCTTCTGTCATTGCTGATAGTTTAAAGCGCTCACATTCACGATTTACTATGCTAGCATGTTGCACCCAGTCATCGTTGCCAGCTTTTACTATCTTCAGGCACTGATATCGAATATTGAACAAGGAAGACTGTTCACCGAAAATTTGCGACAAAATTTTAACTGTTTCTTCGAATGAAATGTCTCTTGGGTTCTTGGGCAGAATGTAATTAGTGTATCGTTCATGTTCAATGGTCCCCAGCTTTCGTAGTAGCACTCTGACCTTGGCGGCATCATCAAACGCTTCTAGGTCAACATTAAATACATCTTCATATTTCTTGTACCAAGATTCGAATGTTACACCAGCCAAACCATCAAAATGAAATTCGTGAATGGAATCAATGATACAATCAGCATGCGATTTAGCAAAAGCATCTGTAAGTCCATTCTTATTGAGGTTCATTTGCTGGGTTAGTGTTTCAAGTATGCGAATCTGGAATTGTTCAAAGTGTTTTTCATGGCGCTCTAGAAAAGCTTGAAATTGGTCAAAGGTAACAGACATATTGATAAATTAACCCGTCGCCAGTTGTTATATCTAGAGCCTTTATTCTTAATATGCCGCGAACTACTTGACTACTTGAACAATAGAACCCGCAACGTCGCAAAAAGAGAGAAGACAAAGACTGGTAAGCAGGAAGTTTATTGCCCCGAACAGTGTCAAAATATAGCACAGAAATCTCGTGTATTTATAGTTACTGGCTGAAAATAAATTATCATTTAGGTCAACCAATAAGCACATAGGTATCAAACTAATCCATCCAATGGAGAAGCTCCACGCTGGCATTTCTAGAACATTCCCCTAGCCGTGATTGGATGGAATGTCTGCGGCTCTTCCTGGGCTTCTTAGGGCTTCCGAAAGTCTACCGACGGGCCGTCCTTACAGATTATAACATAAACCTACTTAATATCTAGTGATTTGTTTACACGTTCCAATCAGCAAGATTCCCAGAATGAAATCCTTAATCGTTGAACATTAGTCACCGTTCAGGACCAAAGCAGCGTCCTGGTTAGTAGTATTTTTCCGTAAAGCTTCTTAGTGATCTTTAAAAAAGACTCTTCACTATGGAATCTGAGATTTCTTGTATTAGTGGCAATATCAACTAGTCCAGATTTTAAACAACCTTGCTTTTCTTCATCTATTGAATCTATTTCAGATAATTGATGATACAAATTTAAATCCAATTGAAAGTGGTTCCATCTCTATTCGACGCAAGTTCAAACATGATAAGTTGCACACAAATTTTCCAGGAATACCTTCAAATAAATTCATTTAGTATTGTTTGTTTGAATCTTCCCATCGATTTGTTAGGACTGCTACTGGTCAGTCTCTAATTAGCATATGTATATACTGTGCGTATTGCCTCGATATAGCCTCAATTCACAAGCATGGTAAGCAGAGATGGATAGTGGCTAGCAGTGTAATCCAGGACGCGCGTTTCATCCTGTTTGGGACTCGTCAGCTGGATGCACCTGCATCTCAGAGTTGATGTTCACTCTGGGACTCGAACGCAGTACCCTCGCTTCAAACGCCATCACCCCATCACACAAGCAAGTGGCTATCAGGACTTAGTGGCCGAGTGGATAACGCGATGGCATTTGAAGCGAGGGTACTGGGTTCGAGTCCCAGAGTGAACATCAACTCTGAGATGCAGGTGCATCCAGCTGACGAGTCCCAAACAGGATGAAACGCGCGTCCTGGATTACACTGCTAGCCACTATCCATCTCTGCTTACCATGCCTTCAAATAGTTGAGATTTGACAAGGGTTTCTTTTGTCTGGACCTCTTGAAGGAAATTATAAAACTTGATTCAAAATACAATATTAAGTTCCTTTATAAGAAGAAGAGGCTTCAGTTCTTAGTATAAATAAATGGTCTTTCATAGATTCAATCAGAGACTTTATTGCTTGTTGATGGTTTTTAGGTGATGGAGGTAATTTGCGTAAGCGTAGTTTCGAAACATTAACGTGGATAGTAGTATGTAGTTAGACATTGTTGAAGAAACTCTATTCTAGGTAATCCTCTGGATAAAGTGCGTCAAATTGCCACCAGATGATTGAGTGTCTTAACTCGTCTTAACTGTTTTCAATTCTTATGTACATTCAGTAAATTTTTAGGTGGAAAAGATAGAATCTATACAGCTGAAAATTGTTATTTGATCACTGTAATTGGATTTATATAAATAATATCATACATTTTTATTGACCTTTGAAACACGCTTAGTTATTTTGATTCATTTTGTATTGTTTGTTTGAATCTTCCCGTTGATGTTTAGGACTGCAATTGATCAGTCTCTTATTGACATATGTACATCCTGTGCGGACTGACTTGATATTACCCTACATCACAAGCACTATAAGCAAAGAGGGTTAATGGCTAGTAGTTCAGTCCAGGATGCGCGTTTCGTCTTACTTGGGACTCAGCTGGATGTGTTTGCATTCCTCAGTTGATGTTCATTCCGGGACTCGAACATATATGCCAATAGGAGACTGATCGATTGCAGTCCTAAACATCAATTGGAAGATTCAAACAAATAATACAAAATGAATTTGAACTTCACCCAATTGCACTAGCAAGTGTCTATTAGGACACGGTAGCCAAATGAATAACGCGATAGCGTTTGGGGAGAACGGTACTGGGTTCGAGTCCCGGAGTGAACATCAGCTCTGGGATGCAGATACATCCAGCCGATGAGTCTCAAGCACGACGAAACGCACGTCCTGAATTCCATTGTTAGTCATCGCCCATAAATGCTTAGTTATTTTGGTCTTCAGATTTCAAATGAAATAGGTATAAGTCCGTTGTGCTCGGGTTTGTAGGTTTCGGTTAATACAGCGGAAAGTAATTAACAATTACATTTTATGGTAGCCATTATTTATTTTCGTTATATAGCCCCGGAATGATGTGGAACGTCCGAGAGTAGGGAGAGTTGACTCTCAGTCTTGAAATGCTCTCACATGGCCACATATATACAGCCACTGCCTAGGAAATCCTACTCACTGCCCTCTCGTAGTGGGAGTGCTTACGAAATTGAAAATATTATCAGTGTAAACTTTAAGTTCATAAAAATTAAAAGCGTAAATTTGGAGGGGAAAAGTATTATTATTATTCAATCTGTATTTGGATTCATTAGTGGTATAAAAATTTTCTAAAGCAAACATATCTTTCTTTAATTCTAACAATTCTAAACTGATGTACAGAACTTTAAACCAAACCTTTCTTGTGTCAAGACAAACAATGCTAGCTGGTCATATCGATCAAAGTATACAAAACGATGTATCAACCGTGGTATAACTGGTTAAAAGTTCAATGACTGGAACCATCAACCTAAATCATGACGTAATAGATTGCAAAAATGCGACATTCATTATGAAGGCATATATCATTACAGGGATGAAGTATTTTTACGCAAATTTAGCTCGCTTTATTTATATCTACGAATTTTAGTAAATAATATTGAACAGTTGTCTTTTGAATCTCGGTATAATTTCCGATTAAGGGATGCGTACACAAAAAATGCGTACGTATTATATATATATATATATATATATATATATATATATATATATATATATATATATATATATATATATATATATATATATATATATATATATATATATATATATATATATATATACTGCTTCCATGTTTTCAATGGTGATCCAACTTAGATCAGCCCATGATTTCAACGAACTTCACAACCCGATACTGGAAATTATCATATGATCACTAGTGGCTAACTTCAGGAGGAAATTTCCGGGGTTCTAGTGGGAAGTCGGGACCAGTAGAGCAGGGAGTGAGGCAGTTACCACGATAGGCAGTGGAAGATGGTCGCGCAATTTCGTGGATTGATCAAGGTTAGACATTAACACTGTTGGTAACCAGCTCAGAGATTTAGAAATCAAGAGTGTGAGCGCGAGAGAGAAAGTTCTGGGTTCGATTCTCGCGTGCGAAGTCATGGACGCGCACTGCCGAGTCCCATACCCAGACAGAAAGGTCGTGTACTGCTTCCAGGTTTTCAGTGATGGTCTAAATTATACAGGTTCATAAGTTTAACGAAACAATAGATAAACTTACTTATAACCAAACTGTGAAAATAAAGCTGTAACAGGTCCCTTAATTATTCGAATATCTTCAATTTGGGGCGGGCCCATATAGTCACCTGGCCAATGACACTCAACTTTAGGATTTGTTATTGAAGCAGGAACGGTTACTCCTCGTAATCTAGATGAGTGCATATTATGAAATTAAAAATAATAATCAAACTTTTGTGATGAATTACACAGCATTAGGTAATTGATAAAATGAAAGATTCCACAGAATAAATTATCTTAAATCATAAATTAGTGGTAGGAATACTTTAGTCCTCTGGTGTATATAACTGCATATATTCACTTCAGCTTATCATGTTCCCTTTGTAATTATTCTGGATTTTAAGTACTACGTTCAGCTGAATGCAGGGAAAGAATATTGGTTGATTCAAGTTTTCGAAATCATAGAAAGGCTAATTATGGGACTAGAACTAGGTTCTAATACTTCAAATTTATCAAATGCGAATAAACAAATGCATAAAAAGGAAAAACAAGTGATATCACTCAGTACATACATAAGTGGTAATCGTTCGTTAGCTAATGATATCAAGTAATATAGACTAAAGTAAAGTATTTCGATTTCCTGGTAGTTTAGGTGATAGGTTTTAAACTACTGAGTCACGAGTTTGAACAGCTCTCAATCTACTGTTCGGATATTGATACTGTTATGTAAGCTACTTATATCGACAGACGTCAGTAGTATGCAACACCAATCAAGTGGAAAGCCTGGCAACAGAAGGCTAAGAAGATCGAGTTGAAGAGAATAGAAAGGAATTGTGGACAGGAAGAATCATAGAGAACGTGATGGACAAATGATGGAAATTTTCAAATGGAATATTCAGTGTATGATTCTCATATTTTACTAAGATATTCTGTAACTTTGTACTAAACAGTAAACAGATTGTCCCAGCTTGCGTCTTCGTTCACAATAATACTAGTCATTACACAAAAGGTGCAGCTCAACATGGGACATATAAGTATGTACTTGACGCGTGAGCTACGTTATATTATTTGATTTGAAGGAAGTTAGCATGATACTGTTTCGAAGACATCAAATGAAAGTTTGCAGTCAGATACAGAAAATAAAATTAATGGAACTCAGAATTCAAATACAATACTTGTGTACTAAATTTGAACTGACACATATTGTGTAAGGATCAGAGTTGTTTACCCTAGGAACAGAATTTCAGTAATACGAAATTGAAGGGCGAAAATATAACTTAAAATCACACTAATATACATTTAGTTCAACCCGTTATCGATGTTTAATGGTTTCCTAAAAAGATGAATAGTTCGAAAGAAAAAGAAAAATACAACATTTTAGTGTAATTTATTTACCGAGATACAGGTTTATATACTTGGTTTTAGGTTGCATGTTTTGCGCATGAGATAGTGATATCACCCAATAGCCCAAACCGAAGTAGGTAGAGAAATGTTTGAATGTGCGAAGTTCTGATTGAAAGCCAAACGTAAGAGATTATTCAACATTTCATTATGTACATTTGAAGTGACCTTGCAAAAACTGCTTCACTGATTCACTTTCTCAGAAAAACATATCGACTGAAGAAACACTTAAAATTTTCTATACTTACTCAATATGATCTTTATTAATATGATTTAACATCAATACACCAGATTTCGGTTCAGTCACCTCGACGAAACCTTCATCTTGCATAGCTTTCAAAAATAGGCCAACCTAGATTAACGAAAGAGAAAATGAAGTAGATTCATACTAATTAGAAGACGAATAATCGTTTATATTGTTACCCTTACTAGAAGTTTACAGGTAGATGAAGTCGTGGGACATGGAATAATAAATGTTGTTGAACTGTGGATTAGTAAAAGAATGATAAATATAATAGTTGAAATGTTATACAACAGGACGTTTAAGATTTCGAAGTGAAGAAATGCCCATTGCGAAACGATTTTAAGTCATGTATTGTATCTAGTGAAGAAATTCTACAATTCTACGACTTAATTAGGTCACTTGATTATACTTCGGTTACAATCCCAAAGTGAAGATTCTAGTTACATTAAAAATAACCTATTTCACTAGTTTATGAGCGTGATTTCAAATGAATAAACATAAGTAGAAAACTCTCTATACTCTTTCTTTTTAACTTAATCATGAATATGCACCTGTAGATAATACTATTTTTATTTGACTTTTCAATTATTCAGAAATTTGGTTAACGAACCGAAATACATGCGACACAGTTCTGTTTGATGAAAACGGTATTAAATAAAGTCTTTTGAATGTCCTGCGCGATAGTTAAAAATGTTTCCTTTGGTACTTTCAAATGCTAGATATATTATGACTGGCTTTTATGGATGTCTAATCTGTCCAAGGAGAGTGCAGTGGTTGAGAGTATCAAGTACTTTAATTACTTCTAAAGTTCAATCAATTGTGATGACTGTGAACATCTGAACATAAATACAGGGAACTCACTTCATTTAACTATTCCTATTCAGTATTTTTCCCATCTTTAGTACTATTTAAGTAGCTGGCAAAAAGTGGTGGTAGATTTGGACGCTGATCAACAGAAACAATGTAGCGGTAATAAAAGCAGTGGTATAATTTCAGCTCTTACAAGACAAATGTAACTCCAGAAATACTACACGATTCTCAAATATTTAATTTTTGGTTCATAAAAAAACTACTGTTCATATCATTCTTATTAAAAAATATATTGATTAAAGATATTTTATAAATTTAAGACATGGTTACTATAACTTTAATGAATTGTTAGTCTGTAACACAAACAATGATTCACCTTCTTAAATTTTGTTTTCTTGATATCTAGATCCACTGATGGAGATCTGTAATGATAATAAATGAATAGTAAACCATGAAAACCTACACCATAATTCTCATAATTAAAAAGGAATTTAATCGACTATGAGTAGAATAGGTTGTTCGATTAAAGGGAAGAAAATACTAAAAATTGTACAGTTTTGGTTCTGAACAAATTTACTAAAATGTATTTTTACTACATGATGTTGTCAGAAAGCTAACAAATTAAAATTTTCCTGGTCTAACATTTATCGGTATTATGTATCAATTCTTAATTAAAATATCAGAAACAAAACTTTCTAACTTTTGTGAAATACTAGACAGTAAGTCCCTTTTAATAGGAATTGTGAGTACTGATCACAGAGAGAACATCTATCAGTGTAAGACTTAAAGCCAAACACTTTGCTTTTAACAGTAATTGCAAATAAGATTTGAATCTATGTGCATACATTGTGCTCCACTTACATGGGTTCGAGCAATCGGGTAGTGGTACTGGTCATCATTAAAAAATACAGCTTGAAGGTGAGCTAGGTCACATACAAGTAGAAACTTGTGATTCTAATCAAATAACACTGAAAACACCTTTTAGATCTCTACAGCAAACAAACAATCATCATAGTCATGAGTAGGCGTCACTACTTTTTAAAAGAAAGAAATCACCAATAAATTAATATTTACAAAAAAGGAACTTACTTGTGTACCAAAACGTATTGAGAATAAAAAATATTCACTTGTATTGGAAGTTGACTTATTTTGATCAACTTAAGACCTTTTAAAAAACACTCCCGTAGAATTTTATCAAGATCAAGTGATGGTTGTAACTCTGCAAAAACAAAATAGGGATGCATAAAATGTAGACATGAATGGAATTAACTGATTTTTTCTGTGATAAAGGAATGTTGAAGATGGAAATTGAAGGCTAATAATCACCTGAATAGCCATGCAACGATTAATAAAGCCAAAAAAGTACAAATGTCACACATAAGTGAAGGATAAAAGCTACAAATTTATTTATTTATTTAAACACATAAATATTGGTACAAGGAAGCACCAGATAAATATGCGCCTCACAAATCTCATTCGATTTGTGTGAGGGCTGAGATACTGCCCAGGTGCCCAGACTGAAGCAGGTGGTTTTCTTAGGGGGCCACACCCGGAGCCTTTGACCTGAATGTCTGATCCACAAGGCAGTGGAGCATCTTGAAGAGATGCAGTCCCATGGTAGCCGTTGACCAATGACAGGTTCGTCCGCCATTCGTTCCATCAGGATACTGGAGCCCATGTGCACCATTGGTTTGGAATCAGGGTTTTCCAACTCCCCTAGGTGGACCCTCCGTGTCCACCAACCCGGTTAAAGCGCCGGACATTCGCTTTTCGTCCTCTCACTTTCGTAAACAACACCCCCGCCACGAGAAGGCAGTGAGTAGGACTTCCCTGGCAGAGGCTATATATTCGCTGGCCATATGAGAGTATTTCGAGAGGGAAAGGTGACTATTCCCACTCTCGGCCGTACCAGGGCATTTGGGGTTCAGAGGGTGAGTATTTGGTCTATACATTCACATCCAGGTGTGAAACCAGTCTGGTTTTCTTGAATTCGCTCTTCAAGAGCTCTAATTAAACGTGGAAGTATTAATGAGGCTAATATTTTATACACTATTAATTAGACTGATCCCTCTGAGATTGTTACAAGGGGAGTTTTGTCCTTTCTCATAAACTGGGACGACCAGCGATCGAAACCAGTCAGATGGGATTACATCCAGTTCCGAGATTTTAGATAAAATTTCAGTTATTCTAACTGCCAAAACTGGACCACTATCATTAAAAATCTCGGGGGTTAGTCCATCAGGCCCTGCTGCTCTACTTCGCTTTGGAGTGCTAATAGCCCTTTCAACCTCACTAAGAGTTAGAGGACCTACATCAGTTTGTAATTCAGGTTGCTTGGAAATAATGGGTACCTAAAGTGTGGATGAAGGCCAGTTGGACTGTTCTGTCCATCGGTCTAATCTCTTGGACTGAGAGTGAATAATGGTCCCATCTTTTTCCGAGACAATTACACCAACAGCCGGATTCTTAGTACCTGTTTCCTTGATAAGTTTGAATAGTTATCTACTGTTGGCTGTCGCTGCTGCCTTTTTCATGTTTTCTGCTTTCGCTATCCACCACTGCTCAGGATCGTTGTGTAAGTTTTTTATCATCCTATGTTTAAGCTGCCTCCAGTCGATTAGTAATGCCTAACCTCTGGTGCCTAACGCGACATTAACGCCAGCAAAACCAGACGATCTCACAAGGTCGACGGATGAACACACACGAAACAAGGTTTTCGAGGTGGCAGTCGAGGAACGAATTTGTAGTATTTCACCAGTCTTGAAAATGGGTCTTGGATAGACAGTAAACATCGGTGCTGAGATTTTCTAAGGACATAGCCAACCCTATCCGTATTCCGATTTGGATTAGTGTACGGACGTTGAAAGAGGCCAGTTTGAATGACGTACGTGGTTTCAGAAAAGCAGGTTCAGTATTCGTAGTCTGTGGTAGCATTCAACTTTCGACCAGTCAGTGACTTGAGATAGTTTAGATAGGATAAGATTTCCACCATAGGTGAGCTGCTGTATGAGTTGAAGCATAAAGGAATAGATAAGCAAAGCAGTCTATAATAAAAACGAATGTTAAATAGTTTTGAGTATGATTTGAGAGAATGAGAGCATGAATAATTTTTCGAGTCGCACTCATCATTTAGTTTATATGTTGGCTAGAATACTGCCTGTGCGCTCAAACCGAAGCAGATGGTCTTCCTAGGTGATCAGTCCCAGAACCTTCTAGCCAGAGGTCCAATCTAAAGGGCAATGGAGCGACGTTAGGAGAAACAGTCCCACGGAAGCCATTTGTCTCAGGATTATGGAGCCATGTGCACCATTGGTTTGGAATTAGGGTTTTTCAGTTTCCGTAGGTGAATCCTTCGTATACACAAGCTTTTGTATTGTAGTACTTTGTTGCATTTGTTCACATCAATTCCACTTATGTTGTTTTCTCCTCTCACTGTGCTTTGAAGTGGGACAATTTAAATGGACGCATATTTGTCTCAGGTTCTACGTTAATGATGACTGACTAACACTTATCAAACACAAACAATTTTAGAAAATCAGTTGTCAAACGAACTCACAAATAAGACAAATAATAGAAAAATTTGGAATCGCTGGTCATAAACAATTTTCTATGCAAGAGGATAACTGTCCAACATTTTCTACGATATTGTTTTTTATTGGTAAAATATAGGAGAGTATACAGTAATTAAAATAGGAATATAATATATGAATACACTGATCATCTAGCAAATGAATACAATGACTAACCAAATGGTTCTTCTAAATGAAGATCATCCAATTCTTCGCTGATATTTTTATCATCCGATGTTTGTTGAGACAACATATTTACTGGGGATTTCGACTCATCATTGGCATTGTCCATTTCTTCATTTGTTTTAGGAGAAACCTCATCGATAATAGGCCATGGGAGGATGGGACGGTTGAATGATGACACCAGGGAACTAAACGTGTACAAATAGAAAAAAACATAATGGATCTATAAATCAAACTCAATTAAAAATAAAAAAGTAGTTTATTCAAGGAAAACAAATAAAACTATGGGAATGAAGCGTGGTAATATTGGTCAATGATCTAAAATTACCCAAGAAAATATGGTGATATACTGCTAAATAACAAATGTGGAGTGCTTCATTGTAAGGTGATTTGCAAAAATATCATAGGTTAGTTGAATAAGTTGTGATTGACCTAAATGTTGTTGGACCATTCGTTAAAATAAGGTGATAAGGAAGTAGGACTCAGGGGATACAAACTATGCTTTTGTAAATATAAATGAGCTGTAAATATTGTCCTCATGGTATGAGTCAGTTTTAATTTTTATAATCGTAAAGCGAAAAAAGCTTGATGCCATAGGGCACCAGGAAATCTACACGAAACGAACTAATATTGCAACAAAGAAATGGAGAGGGAGTATTAAGTAATGAAAATAATCAACAGTAAGTAAGCACATAACCGCAATAGACTTTTATTTAGTTAAAAGGTGCAACGTAACGTTCCATAGAAATAAAATGGACGACCATGACGTCACCACTGAACTTTTATTCTTAATGATATTTGATGTTTCGGGCCATTAAATTGATGACTTTCAGCGAAACATGATGAATCGACAAACACCAGTCTGGTAAACTTATTCTTCCCTACACATTGAAAACCATCAAATGACCACCTTATTTTACTTAACATGTTTGTATAATGGACAATTATCTGAGTGGTTTAATACGGTATTACACTCAAAGGCAGTTGTAAAGGTGCTTTGGAAGTAGATGTAAAAATTTTGAAGCTGATTAACAATCGGCATTAGAAAACTTAGAAGAAGGGTATGGACTATTAGGAATTGGACCTTACGCAACAGTCGAGGTCTCAGAAAACAGGCCGCTAAAAGCACGTGATAGAGGATTTCCGTTGATTGTAACAATACCTAATGACAAAATTAAATGTGCAACATATTCATAAGAAATTGAAAACACGCTTAAAATTTGAAACGTACCACACATGATCGCCCATAACATGAAGCACGGATACAGCTTTCCCCCTACCGGCACTCATATACATATCGTAGTTTGACAAAGCTGTGCGCCCGATAGCTATCGGTGCACTATATTACAATAAATATATAAAACATAAAATTACCGGTTGGAAGTTGTGCTGATACAACAAAGAATACCCTTTTCTATCTTATTAAATGTATAAGGAAGAATCGGGCCATCAGTTACTACTCCAGGAAGCATAAGGTCTATAAAATGTTTGGATCTAAAAAAGCTGCATTTACCAGCCCCTTTCATTAGAACGGAAACTAAGTTCTCATGTACTTTGAAGTGTGGGAGAAGGTTCGGGAATTGCCATAGAAGGTAAACTTATATAACATGAACTATAGATGAAAAACTACCTGTAGGGAGATGTTCGTTTTCGTTTTCAATAATTAAAGGAATATTTCCAAATTTGTAGATATTTACTTTTATTTCTGATGAAGTTATGATTTTTAAACGGTGAACATCTTTTGTTTTAAAAATTTCCGAAACATTTGTAGGATCTAATCCATACTGCTTATAGAATGAGTTTAGAAGTTGCTTCCTATAAATAAAAAGTAAGTACAAAAATAAATGAACCTCTGACTTTTCACAAGACTTGATTTGAGAATTAGATCTCACGGAGAATGGTTTTAAAAACATTTTGCATCGTACAAGACAGGACCGTTAGAAGCTAAAATAAAATGAAGTAGGTATTATGTAAAAGTATTACTGACAACTATTCAAAGATGATCTGAAAACAGCGAATATTACGTTTTTTTAATCTATGGGCAGAACATACCACATAAATATGACCGTTGAGGGAGTGATAAAGCAAGTAAAACAAAGCCATGGATTAAAAATGTTTAGGTCATTTTTAAATGCTTCTAAAAACCTGGCGTTTCTTAAAACTTAGGTTGCTTCATCCATGAAAATGTACTCAATGTGACTTATTACAACAAATTCCATACATTGGTATGGAATAACAATATGGTATAACAATGAGGAATCCCTATGTATATGGGTCACTCTGTAATAAAAATTAGGCTTGCAGCTCAAAAATAAGTTGCACGTGCCGTACAAATTGAGCGTATTAATATCTAAAAATTGACTCCGACACATCAATAAGGGTTACTGTTATTGTACCTATGGTCTGAAAAACAGGCAAGGTAAATAAGTCAGTGCGTTTTCAAACCTGCCCGCCGTTTCCTTTTTGCGACCTTGAACGGCCTGACACGAGGCGGTCATTCCGTATTTGATTTGTTGTGGGTCGGTTGGTTGTCCTCTGGGTTGCACGAATATCTGGTTTTCTTGTATTTGCATCATTTTTGGCTGTAGCAAATTCACAAAATCAATGCCAAAAGCGTTTATTGTGCTTACTGTGTTTTGTAGTGTACAATTTGACTCTTTTGTTGCTACGTAACTTGACCTGGGATACCAATTACCCTACTGAACCTCACTCTCCTTGTTTAAAATTCGTTGGGGTCCGCAAAACTGCGTATTCATTATAAATTATCAGTTAAAGATACTATGAATTTGTGTGAATCCTTGTTTTCTGCAAGAATTAAGACGACATGACGAGTAACCCGTAAATCCTAAATGCTTGTAGTCCTTTCTTCAGTTACTGGAGTATTATCGCACGAAATGGCTATTTTTTCAGTAATTAACGAGTAATGTTTGTGGTGATTTATGTTCCAGAAACATTTCGGTCGACTTAAGTGAGGCGTTTCAAAGCATAATACTGAGCAGGCGTTTTGGAAACTGGATTGAATTCTATGGTGTGTTTAAGGAGTTCCAAAAAGTATGGATGCATAATTCCATCCCTTTTCAGACCACCCGTACACACAACATTCACGGCGAAAGTAAACTGCTAAAGGACGTGCGATTTAAATACAGTTTTGTGGTGTTATGAACTAGATGCAGGCACTTGCGAGTGTAATTGTAGAACATTTATGGCTTGTCGATATCCCTGACGTCATATAATACTGACATATGTAAAAAGACCAACTCTTACAGGTAAGCTTAATCAACTACGAAATAAACTAATTAGCTCATCACATACTTAGACCATGCAGCCGATGGAAGTTAAATAGCACGCATAACTTCCATTATAATACAACATCATTACCCAGACGGAGTGAAGAGTATATACGAATCCAAAGAAGCCAGAAAGTTCATAAACAACAGATAGTTGAAAAATATGGTGAACACTTCGCCATGGTGGTGGAGAAAAAAGTAGACAATTATCAACTAAAAATCAATGATTAGGTAAGACTGCCATTTCTCAAACATGTCTCTTCCTGCAGTCCTATTTACGATCAGTATATTCGGATGAATAATTGGAGTGGCATTGTTTCCTAATCACATGGTCTCCGGAATCAAGCATATAATAACTAAAAGGATGTAACACTTGGAGAAGGTCGGAAGTGGTGAACGTGGAGATATTCATTCAATCGAATGGCATGAGTCAGTGTTGCAGACGCGCTCATTATGTTTAACTTATTTATATTCACATTAAATATATTCTATCCCAAGCATAAATGTGTATTGTTATTTGTCGCGATACGATGGGTCAGTGTAGATAGTGATGCGATTTTCACTTAAGATCTTACAGACTAGGCAATCAAACGATAAATTTACCGTTATCGGACAACGTCTATTATGAAAGTAGTATTAGTACCTAACTAGACTATACACATACTGAAAAGATTTAAAGTGCGAAAAACTACAGTTGTTATATTTAAATTATATTTAGATAACGTATTAGATGAATAGACGCGGTAGTGGTCAATACAAAACACAGTTATCGTCAATGTGTGAATTGTTTCTCCGCATAAACTTCCATATTAAGAAATTCGCCAAGTTGTTCACCTGCATAGACTTGATTATTACAAAGATTTGAGCCTTTCAATTAGTTGACAGAAGTCATAAGTTATATAACAAAATGTATGGATAGCTTGCTCAATGCAATTCTGAAAAACAACAAATCAATCGTGAAAGAAAAGATTAAACTTCGTTATCAGTATGAAGTTCCATAAGTAAATGAAATAGCAATTGATAGGATGTACCTGTAAGTGTTTTACTTGCTGTAAACAGTGCTCTTCATTTTCTAACCTTCCTACAATTTCATCTAGTTATTCGGTATTAACAAACAAACGAAGGGACTCACAAACTTTAATTAGTTATATGATATTTGAGAAAAATCCAATTACACCGTTCATAATACTGTTTACATACAATAATGAAATAACTGGTAACCATTATTTAGCGATTACCCGTCAACATGCATTAACACTTTGTTTATGATTTAGTCAGTGATTTCGGATTCTGTTAGCAGAAATTTATATTTTAACCCTATACGCGACATCGTAAAATAGTATTTTCTACAACATGTTTTAGTTACCATGCTCATAACAAACACGCATCGCTTTACTTAAGAAGAGTATTTGGCTAATTTATGTGGCACTTACAGTAATGTTCTACACAATTTCTGTATAAATTCAGAAAGCGGACAGAAAAATCTATCAACGCCAATTGTTACTAACATATTTTTTTCTAACATTACGTAATAACATATCAGTCCAGTTAACAACGATGATACTTATCATGGATTAAACTGTTTACGGCTGTATATTAATAGTTCATATCGTAATGTAGCACGTTATATATTGACGTCCACTTTGAAGCAGGAGCGATCTGAAACAACAACACTACAGTGAGGACCGGTAAGTGCCGTCAAAGTAAGAACACAATGTACTGGTACAACATATATATTTTTAAAATTGAAAGACACGGTTGAGTGCAAAAGGGGAAACTTTCTACAGAATAGTTTTATTCATTGTTCTGCTCGTTCAGATCGCGTAGGGCTTCTTCCTCTATTTCCAGTGCATTTACTCTTTGTTGCCCTGCTATAGAAAAACAAACTTCCATTAGGAACGTCGCATGGAATTATTATTATTACCATTACAAGATTCATGAATAGTTTGACTCTCAATTACAATTTATAAACAACTACTAACAACCACGTTCATCCCCATACAACCAATAAAGGGGAAATAAAGCGAAATTTCCCCTTTCTGTCGCTCTGTTTTTCAAATGTCGCTGAATTGCCGACTTTTACCTTAAATATTCGACGAATTTCCGATTTGCACCCTAAATATCCGACGAATTGTCTACTTTTCTACTACATGCACACCGATGTAATTAAGCGCCCACTTTTAAAACGCTTCTGTATTTACCCCAACCGCCTCCTGTGTTCACCTTCATTCACACAACATAGCACACGAATAATGTAATGTACGTAATATATGGTATAAGTTCCAAATTTTTATTGAAAACAAAAAGCTTATTATTGTACAACGTCATGAGCACTTGGCAGATGGTAAAGCATCAATGTTCCTGATGTAATTGCAATTGTCACGGACCAGATATTTCACGTTTGTTTCTTTCCATCAGGCCTTTTGAACTATGGAGACTCAAATAATTCTTTTGAATTCTAAAATGTAATGAAGAAGAACGTTACTATATCTAGGAAATTTGTTTTGCACAACAAGGTACTTGAAGCTGAACTTACGGTTATATCCTTAAACACGGAAGACTCTACCTATAGATAACGGGAAAACAATAATCACTTTAAAGTCGTACGTACGTGTTCTTTTTTCCGTCGATGACGCTTCTGTACTTTGTCTCTCATGTCGTGAAAATAACTTTGTGTAGCCATGTCATATAGTTTAGCAAGATCTTTCTCAGTGACAGATGACGACAGGGATCGATTAGTAAGTGCACCTGAAGTTTAAAAACCTTATTTATCTTACTTCGTACGCAGCCATAAAACCGGCACTTCTGAATCGCTCGTTTTGATGAAGTACCAAGTAACGTGAAATTAATGGCGACTTCAGGTTCCATGATGTAGGACAGAAGATATCGCATGCAGGTTTTAGGATCATCATTCATTAAACGCGTCAACATGGCCATCTGTAATAGGAATGAAGGATAAAAATCATGTTGTGTGCTTACAAATCTGTCCCTCACGTGCAGGCGAAAAAGCGACATTCCCCCTTTATTTACGCTTTCGTCCGCTTTCTTTCCCCTTTTTTCGCTTTTATTTCCACTTTATTGGTTGTTTGGGTCACTACCATAATAAGGGAGGTAAGTCATATGTAAATTATTCTACAGCTTGTTTTTGCTTGAAACTGTAATTTTGGTGTATTTTTGACTTGATAAACGATGAATTTCACTTGCCTGAGTTTGCGTTGTTACAAATTACCAAGTTAGGCTGACTAAACATTCATCCAGGTTGTCAGCTCCAAATACGTCAGGCAACCAATAGACTGCAATAAACTCCATGTAAAACGCATAAATATTACAAAAATTAACATGCGACGGAAAAATACTGTGATTAGCCGACAAAAAACGACGTTAGAAATCCGCGACAACATGTAACACATAAGCGAGAATCAATGACATGACTTTTCGACCATGCCGAAAAACACGGTAACGCGAAGTACAAAATCACGCAGGTAGCACCGATGTCAATATCCAATATCTTAACAACAAGCTTCATATAGTTTCTGAACTGAACTGAGGAAATTTCCACTTAACGTGTCTCTGTATCTAACAGCAATGAGTCATCTATGCCTCCATCTACGAACTAAGGTATGTTTTAAAGAAAAAATAAAATTAGTATATGTAGACGATGTACTGTTTTTAGTCCTTAAGAATATGTCAAGTTTCCTTCTTGTGAGCTCCTATGAAATCACTTGGACTAGCTTAGCCGGCGGCGAATTTCAGCATTTAACTACTGTTAAGGAGTAGAAGATGTGTCTATAATCTGTTCTGATGTGTTGTGTGACTGACGATACCTGATGTGGAAGATTGTTTATGAAAATTAAGGTCAGGGCACAAGCTGAATACACAGAAGCAAACATGAAAATGAAGAAAAGCATTGAAGCTGGCGAGCAGAAATACATAGAAGAGCGAGCAACGACAGCGAGAAAAGCTGCAAGAGAAGGAAATGTGCATCAACTATGTGACACAACGAAGAAACTGGCAGTTAAATATGGTAAACCAGAGAGACCGGTCAAGAAGAAAGAAGACAAGCCAATCACGGAAACTCAAGGACAGAGGAACAGATGGGTGGAACACTTTGAGGAACTCTTGGATAGGCCAGCTCCATTGAATCCACCGGACGTCGAAGTAGCACTCACCGGCCTTCCCATAGATG